AAATAACTAAATTAATAAAAAGAATTACTAAAGTTAAAATCTTCTATACTTATAGAAATATACTAAATATTCCTAAGAGTACTAGTTATATATACCTACTATCTAGTATAGAAACTATACTAGATCTTATTAAATAAAGTTAATAAAAAACTAAAGTATAGAGATACTAGTTCTAAATTACTACCTATACTTCCTCTAAAACTATAAGATTTTTAAGATATATTTAATTTCTAAGAAATAAAGAAGTTATTATTATACTAATTATATAATTATAATATTAAGATTTAAGAAGAAAAATAGTTTTTATTTAATAAATTATATTTAATATTATAAATATAATTAATTACTTTAAAGGAATAGCTAGAAGAGAATCTAAAGAAAGATTTTATATATTCTAGCTTATTTTTAACTACTTCTTCTATTTTATTTATTAATAAACCTAGAGATGGCCTTTACCTATATATAGATTATTAAGAACTAAATATTATATTAATTAAGAATTACTACTTATTACCCCTAATTAAAGAAATCTTAAATAACCTATAAAGAATATAGTACTTCTCTAAGATTAATCTAGTAGCTATCTTTAATAATATCTATATTAAGAAGGGATTAGAGTATTTAATTACTTTTTAAACCTATTTTAAGCTATATAAGTCCCTAATTATATTATTTAGCCTAACTAGTACTCTAACTATCTTCTAATATTTTATAAATAATATTCTATAATAATATATAAATATATTCTATAATATATTCTTAAATAATATTCTAATTTATAGCTATATAAGAAAAAAATATATTAAATACTTAAAGTAAATATTATAAATTCTAAAAAATAATAACCTATATATAAAAATATCTAAGTATAAATTCTACTAGCTAGAAGTTAAATTCTTAAATATTATTATTAGAAGAGAAAGTATCTATATAAATCTTAAGAAAATTAAGATTATAATAAATTAAAAATTACTTAAGATAATTACTAATATTAAAAGTTTTATAAAATTTACTAGATTTTATTAATACTTTATTAAAGAATTCTTATAGATTCTTATGCCTATTACTATCTTAGAGAAGAAAGAAACCCTATTTTTATAAACTTTAACTTACTAGACTACTTTTAAAATACTAAAAATAAAATTTATTAAGGAATTAATACTAAGGTTCTTTAATTAAAATTAACTAGTTATTTTAAAAATTAATACTTTAGACTTTATATCTACTAGAGTATTATTATAATATAATAATAATAGAATTCTATACCTAGTAAGATTTTACTTAAAAAAAATAATTCTAATTAAGTATAATTATAAAATATATAATAAGGAGTTACTAGTAATTATTTATTATTTAGAAAAATAGATTCTAGAATTAGAAAAATACTAGTATTTAATTAAAATTATAATTAATTATAGAAATCTAGAGTATTTTATAATAATTAAGATATTAAATTAATAATAAGCCTAATAATCTAAATTCCTGTCTTACTTTAACTTTATAATTAATTATTACCTGGGTAAGTATAGAGTAAAATTAGATAATTTAATTAGAAGATTATAGGATCTCTCTAAAGAGGGGGATAAATACTTGCTATACTAGAGTTAAATAATATTAAAAAGAGAAAATTTAGTAAATTTCTTACCTAAATACTTAAAGAAGTTATAGAACTAGTAAATACTATAATTAATCTAGCTCTAAACTACTACTAAAAGGAAGTTAGTATACTTCTAGCTACTTAAGCCTAAAGAAGAAGAGACTATCTAGCTCTCTAAATAGCTAAGAAAGTACTTAAATAAGGATTATAAATAAGATCTAGCCCCTAATAATATTTTAGAAAGCCTAGAAAAGGGCTATAATTATTATTTACTAATTATATTATTTAAGTATACTTACTATTTTAAACTCTTATTTTACTATAATTAATTATATATCCCTAATATAAAAAAATTAAAGATAGAACTAATATATAAATATTATAAGAGTATAGTTACTAGCTATTAAAATAAATTAAAAATTTATAAATTATTATTATAATTATATTACTAGCCTAGAATATTATAGTTTATAAAATAATAAGTTTATAATTACTATACTTATAAATAATCTATATCTTATTAAAATAGATATTAAAAAGTATTCTATTTCTTATTTATATTTAAAAATTCCTAGAAAGATATATTTATTAATTTTATTATATATTTATCCTAAAGTTTAGGCTTTAATACTATTATAGTAGTAATTAATTAGTTAATAAAGTTTTAATACTATATTTCCTATAATAGTACCTATAATATTAAGAAAGCTACTTACTTATTTTAAGATTATATTTAGAAATTTTATAGATTTCCTAAGTTTATTATATTTAATTAAGGATTCTAGTTTATATTAATATTCTAGATATATTTAAATTATATCTTAAAAATAAGATTACTTCTATCTATTACTTATTATCTTAAGATTAATAAGTAAATTAAATATATAAATATTATTTTAGAATAATATTTATAAGTTTATATTAATTACTTATAAGATAATTAGATTAAATAATTACTTATAGTAAAATTTATTATTAATAATATTAATTTTAAAATTACTAGATATTTCTTATTCTTTATTTTATATAATTTTAACTCCTATATAAGATTTAAGTCTATCTTACCTAATTACTACTTATAAACTTATAATATTTATTAATTTACTCTAATTATAAAGTAAATATAAGAATATTACTATACTATTATAATTACTATTCAAGCCTGCTATAAATACTATACTAACTAGAAATACTACCCTACTAGATATTATATTAAGGACTAATTAATCTAATTAAATATTAAGAATATTATAATTCTATACCTTTAAAAGAAATTAGATTAGAAAAATCTAAACTTCTTCTTTATTAGGAAGATTATTAGTCCTTATACTTATAAACTAGACCTGCCTAAGAATATAAAAATATATCTAGTATTTTATATTAAATTATTATACCTAACTACTAAAGATTTACTATCTAGATAAGAAGAAATTAAACCCCTATATATTAAAGTTAATAGTATTAAGGAATAGAAAGTTAAGAAAGTAGTTAACTTTTATTAAAATTATTATAGCTAAGATAGCTACCTATATTTAAAATATATTATTAAATAGGTTAGATACCCTACTATTACTAAAGTTCTTACTAGCTACCTAAAGAATACTATTAAATATATTATTATTTATTATTACTACTACCCTAGAAAGCCTGGACTTTAGGAATGCTTTACTAGAGCTTAGCCTAAGAGAGGGGATACTATCATAGTATAGCTATATACCTATCTAGTTAGATTCTGCCCTAATTATCTACCTTTACTCCTATATTTAAGCCATGTTACCCCTAATCCTGTTATAGCTCTTCAAGCTATGTCCTTATCTTGACCTGATCCCTACCTATTGTACCTGTATGCAGATAGCCTGAATATACACCCTGCTGTTAGCTACACCTACTGCCCGCCTGCTCCCCATGACAACTAGTATTTTCTAGACTTCTTACTAGTAATTTCCTTTATAAAATTCTAAAGTATCTTATAGGATATAAAGAGGCCTTACTTAATAAGCTTATTAATATAGCTTATTAATTCTTTTTTATATTAGTTAGTAAGAACTTACTATTACTTATATTAGTAGTCTTTAGGATGCTATATCCTATAGTAGTATCTTAATAGTATTATCTAATTAATACTAAACTCTTTTACAATCTTAGTATAATTAATTAAATTACTAATTTTTAATAAGTTAATTACTTCTATCACGGCTTTAATTAAACCTATATTAGTTAAGATATAAGTTATTAAAAATTATTAAAAAAACAGTTAGTAAGGGAAAATCAGGCGTCAGGTAGGACCAGGCATCAGGTGATCACCGACTGTATTACAACAGCGTCTCAAGCTGTCTGGCTTCAGGACCCCGTTGCATTGGTATTGTCGTCTGGGACTTTGATGACGCGTATTCTTGGGTTCCTTATACATTTGCAGGACAGGGTGGTGCTACATTATTTAATGATACCCTGCAGGCAAAACCAGCGTTTTACGCCGTGGCTGATGCTCTCAGGGGCAAGCCTTGTAGTGTGTGCTAGATGGTACAAGAACCAACGGTTAACAGAGAGTCACTCGGTCTTGTATATACAGAACAGCTTTATAATAGGAATGAAATTTGTTCAAGACGTTCCCATACCTACACTGAGAGAACTCGCTATTTGGATCAGGCATATAGTTGTATTTTACGTTGCACGTCTGGGGAAAATCTGTATATACCCGCTTGTACTGTTGTAGACTCTCATTTTCGCAGCCCTACTCATACTCACCATATGAGAGACTTTGGGATATAGTCATGCGAAAAGCAACCCCAGTGAATAAGGCTACGTACATAGATTAACCGTCCCTTCCATCATCCCTAGTGCCTGAATTTAGCTAAATTCAGCGGAAATGCTTCTATTCGTGCAAATATTGCTGCCGTTTGGCTAAGCGGAACATACCGAGGCGTGGGGAAGTAGCTAGATCATTAGAATCGTATCGATTAGCCTGATCTCAATCGAGTAAATAACCGAGTTTTATCCCGCTAAGCCGGAAAGTTTGCTTCACGGTAGAAGAATAAGTCAGAGGTAGATATAGTTGCCATATCCAATATGTCCTGTGCCGCTAGAATAGAAGAATGAGGCTGTTACGGATCTCACTTGATGCTCTCCAAACCTCGTGTTTTCTGCCCAGCAACTTAGGGCTTAGGAATCATATCGCTGCACCGTATATTGTTATGGTCAGGGCTCAGATAGCACTATCTGTTGGACTAATTTACACCTTGATGGTCATTCAGACGAACATACCGCTACAATTAGGGAACTTGCAGTCCTAAATCGTACGACAGATAGTGAGTTTCACTAGGCTTACTTGATGCTATATGCAGTCAGGTGGAAATACTCTGAGTTTGGACGAATATCAGACACCAAGAAAGCTTGATTAAGCTACTTAACGTTGTTGAAAGGTGATTGTCTTGGTCTGGAGAAATTCATCAAGCCCGAATGCGGCATTGAATCTTCCCCATCCGCTTTTCTTCACACCACCATGTGGCAGCCCGGCCTCATCATGCACCGTCATGCTGTTGATATGGACTGCACCACTCTTGATCCTCTTGGCGATGGAGAGACCATTAGCTAGGTCTTCCGTAAACACGGCCCCGCTTAAGCCGTATTCAGTATCATTGCTAATCGAGATGGCCTGCTCGTCACTTTCAACGACGATCAAGCTAACAGATGCCCCAAAGCTTTCGGTGTGATATAGGTTCATTTGGGAAGTGACACCGACAGCAACAGCAGGGTACATTTGGAACCGGGATAACTTTTCTTGATCACAAGGACTGGGGAGTAAGGTAGCGCCTTGGGAAGCCGCGTCGGAAAGGAGACTTTGATTCCTCTGGACACCGGCCGGTTGAGCTAGAGTCACTGTAGAGCCTCCTAGTCCGTGAGTATCTTGGATTTCTTTCTTGATCAAATCTATAAATCGTTCCGCAATATCTTTGTGGACCAGTATGCGCTCCGTAGACATGCAAATTTGTCCCGACTATAAAGTAGATTGTTAGCCTTCTGCCAGCACCGGAACTCACTGGAGGCCTACATACATGCAGAAAAGCCCCGCGCACACATTGCTGTGCTGCTTTCTGGAGATCAGCATCCTTGCAGACGATGGCACTAGACTTTCCGCCCAGTTCTAGTAGAACGGGCTTGAGGTTTTTTCCCGCCGTGGAGGCAATAATACTTCCGACGGCGGTGCTTCCAGTGAAATTGATTTTGCTGACTGCAGGATGTTCGATAAGGGCAGTGGTGATTTCTGCAGCATCTTCTGGCCGGTGGTAGATCACATTCAAACAACCATCGGGTAACCCAGCTTCTTTGAATATTGACCCAATTGCCCAGAAACAGCGTGGCGACACTTCACTTCCTTTTAGAATGCAAGTGTTTCCGGCAGCGAGTGCATACGCGATAGCACGGATGCCGAGTATATAGGGAGCGTTCCTTGGAATATGACTGTTAGCACTTGTCCCTTTCCACCGGGATAAGCCATCCCAGAGAGCCATTGAACCCGGCATACCACGGTGCAATTCCTAAAACGACGCCGTACGGCTCCCTTAACACCATGGCATGCGTGCCCTCATCTTGGCATATGGGCACGATGCCCGCGAGAGAGCCACTTATGCGTCCCGCAAGATCACGTAGAATCTCGCAGGAAGTGTCCACATTGATTCCTAAAAATGGAAAAGTGCCTCCTGTTTCCTGCGACATGTATTCCTGACACTCGTGGGCTCGGTGTTCTAAAATATCTGCGGCCTTGAGGAGGATGTTCCTCCGGAATGTGGGCTTCGTCGCTGACCACATAGGATATGCCTGTGAGGCAGCTTCCACGGCGGCGTCGGCATATTTGCGAGAAACAGAGGAGCAAGACCAAATCTTCTTGCCTGTCAGGGGAGACACAATGTCAAAGCAATCGGTAGTGACTACTTCCTCGCCATTGATGATTAGTGGAACTGTTACGGGCAGGCTGTCGGTGACACAGAAATCCCCCATTGTAAGTACTTTCGTATCGGATTTGTGAGAGGCAGACTAAACAGAAGCATAACTTTCTTTTTTTTTCTAGCTATTCACTGAGATGGGTCTCATCTATAAATACGGAGGAGTATACTGGTGTGAGGTGAGATCGGGTGTAGTGGACCGCATTCCGAGTCTGGAGGAGAGAACTATGTTCTTTAGAAAAGTATACTCTATACCAGGTAATTCGCACTATTTTTCCGTCTGTGCGGATGGGTGTTACGGATACTATGTTCCTGTGTTCTAAGATGTGTGCCCATTTAGCATCTACAGGATTTATATTGAAACTACACATTCTATCAAAGAGAAAACCCTGCGTCGAGAACCACATTGACTCCAGTCATGGATTCTGACAAGGCAAATACTTTGACCTGCTGGGCGACGTCCTGTGAATATATTTAGTCATTGTCCAATATTAATAAGAAACAAGCGACTTACCTCGGGGGTTGCGAATCGCTTAAGTAAATTCTTCTCTTGCACTGCTTTGAGTCTCTCTTCAGGAAATTGACGGCCCCAATCCTTCAGAAATTGTCAGTGAGATTGCCATAAGCCAAGGATAACATCTGTTCATTTGCCTACTGTTAATAAAACTCCTGGTGAAACAGAGTTGACTCTAATCTTAGGAGCGGCTATGATAGCCAGGCTCTTGACAAGATGAATGAGCGCAGCTTTTGTAACGGCGTATGGCTGTAAGTTCGAGGAAAAAGTTAGCCTTGAAGCTGTTGCAGTCCCGGTTCAAAGGCATACCAGAGAACTTCCGCTTGGTTTGACTCCTGCAACGCTGGCAGTAGCGATGAATGCGCCCTGGGTTTGCTCGAGGTGCTCCCTGCAGGCTTGAAAGAGACGGAAATGGCTTTTGACATTCATGTCAAAGCATCTATCCCAGTCCATATCGGAATCTGCCTCCTGGAGATTCATGAAATCGGTCATTCGTGTCCATCCAACATTGGAAACTACCACATCCAATCGACCCATGGATTGGATGGTCTCCGTCACCAGTCTCTGAATGTCCCCCCGATCCGCCAGGTTGGCCTTTATGGCCGCGAATTGCTGACTGGCATTATCTTGCTGGGAATCCGGAGCTATTGACATCTTCAATTCTTGAATCAGCTTCTGGGCTGGTCCGGGGTCAGAGCTATAGTTGATCACAACACGCATCCCGCCGTTGGCGGCCAGAGCCCGAGCAATGGCGGCACCTACACCCCTGGAGGCGCCCGTGATCAAGGCAACTTTTGCGGGAGCCATTGCGAGAGTCGGTTTGGAGTTTGGAGTTTGTTCGACGGTTTCTCTGCCAGAGGAAGGGGGTGCCTACTACATACAAAGGTTGCTGTTCGACACTCCACTCCATATCGGCTCCACGTATATGCATGTTGATCGACGCTGAACACCGGCCGACGAAGAAACAAATAAACAACGCACGACAGCCACACATCCATCATCACAAAACTATCCAGATTCCATTATCAATTTCCGAAGCTCTTGGGTACAATTTCACACAAAATGGAAGACAACGGCCTACGCCCCCTCAACCGCTTCATCACAGACCACGACTCACAAGGACGAACAACGTTTCAAGAGAAAATCCCCGAACCCCTTGCGTGGCAGCAGTTAGCCAACGGCGCGCGCTTTTCACTCGGATATGCTACAAATGAAATTCCAGTCGATTTGGCCAACAGCAAAGACGTGAACACCTACCAGGCCTACCTTCGCGACCTCCCCGGGGTGGCAATCCCAGGCGGCACCGTTTTACGGGTTGTGGATATGAACCCGGGCTCGATTTCGCCCATGCATCGCACCGTCAGTCTCGATTATGGCGTTGTTCTAGAAGGAGAGGTGGAGCTGGTTCTTGATTCGGGCGAGACGCGACTTCTCAAGCGCGGCGACATTAGCATCCAACGAGGTACCAACCACGCGTGGAGGAACCCAAGTACCACGACCTGGGCGCGTATGCTCTACGTACTTCAGGAGGCTCAGCCATTGCAGTTCAATGGAGTTGCGCTGGAAGAGGATTACGGCGGTGGGATGGATGATGTGAAGCCATCTAAATAAGGGAGCCTCGAAGCAACCGTGCAGGGATCGTTTGTTGTTGGGAATGTTATTATACAAGCTAGACCGCGTACTCGAATGATACTATTCTGAACAATCTAGAAATCTGTATTATTCTTTTTGATGCGAACAATGCTGTAAGATTCCGAAGTATAGCAACATGAGCAACTAACTAGCTTTGAGACATCGTACGATAGCTTGATCTAAAGCGCCAAACATAGAAAAAAGGTCAAAAGCACGCCGTTAGTCTCGACCATGATATTTCTTCATAGCCTATGAATGTATTCTACCCCGTATTGCGAGCTGAGAATGTTCATTTACTTCGCCCAACGAAGCGGGTCGGACTTGGAGGCCGAATTTCTTGCTCGGACAGATTGTGGAGGTGGAGCCGAAAGACGTCGATAGAAGTCCAACCATGTGAATATCACTCGTGTAGAGTATATCAGACGTATATAATGTCTCATAATTGACGGTACTTACTGAGGAGAACGAGAAGCACAAGCGGGTTTCCTCACGACTACCAAACATGGCAAGACAATACCTCAAAACCAAGCCCAACAGCTCTGGCAACTCGTCCGGTCCGCCCCAGATCGATGTCGCCTCCATTGTGCGCGGGGTGATTGATGATATTCGAGCAAATGGGGATACTGCAGTTCGCAAGTATTCCGAAAAGTTCGATCAGTGGTCTCCAGCTTCGTTCAGACTGTCCCGGGAAGATATCGATGCCGCCATCGCAGCGTGCCCTAAGCAGACAATCGAAGATATCAAAGAGGTCCAGAAGAATGTGCGGAAGTTTGCCCAGGCTCAGAAGGATTCGATTATGGACTTTGAATGCGAGATGCAACCCGTAAGGCGTTTCGTTCCTGTACTATCGATATAACCCTGCTGACCATGAGAAGGGAGTGTTTCTCGGCCAAAAATCACTTCCTATTAATTCTGTAGGAGCGTAAGTTACAGTTTTTCTTTTCCATTTCAAAATAAACCAGTAAACGACTGAAGCACTGACGATTCCTTTTTCCTTGCTAGGTACATTCCCGGCGGGAGATATCCTCTCCTGGCATCCGCACATATGACTATCCTAACCGCCAAGGTTGCCGGAGTCCCTAATGTGGTTGGCTGCACTCCTCCCATCAGAGGCCAAGTGCCAAATGCAACAGTGGCTGCGATGCACCTGGCGGGAGCCGATGAGATCTACCTCCTGGGTGGCGTTCAGGCCATTGCAGCAATGGCATGCGGTACAGAAACCATGCCCCGGGTGGATTTCATTGCCGGCCCCGGGAACGCCTTTGTAGCAGAGGCGAAGAGACAGCTCTTTGGAGAAATCGGAATCGATCTGTTTGCCGGCCCGACGGAAATCCTCATTGTGGCAGATGAAACTGCAGACCCATTTACCGTCGCCACTGACATTCTCTCTCAAGCTGAACATGGGCCTGACTCCCCGGCTGTGATCATCACCACCTCGGAGAGAGTGGGCAGACAGTCAATTCACGTAATCGATGAACTTCTGAAGAACCTGCCAACTGCAGAGCTGGCCGGAACCTCATGGGCGCAATATGGCGAAGCCATCCTTGTTGATTCCTTGGACGAAGCATGGAAACTGGCAGATGAGTATGCAAGTGAGCATGTGCAGATCCTCACCGAACGTCCCCGAGAGGCTCTGGAGAAAATGACGGCGTATGGGGCCTTGTTCCTGGGAGAGAGGACTTGCGTTTCGTATGGCGATAAGGTATACTTCCCCTCTTCTTGCGTTGCCCCAATCCAAGTCCATCTTTAACAAGCTGTACAGGTGATTGGCACAAATCATGTCCTGCCCACTAAGAAAGCCGCACGCTATACTGGCGGTCTCTGGGTTGGGAAATTCCTTCGCACTGTGACATACCAGGAGGTGACAAATGACACAGCGAGCGGAGAATTGGGTAGGCTGTGTGGGCGAGCAGCCCGCGCAGAAAACTTTGAAGGACATGCCCGCTCTGGGGATCTACGAGCTCAAAAGTATTTGAACGAAAAATACGAGTGGATTGGGACATATGAACGGGAGAATGTCTAGGAAATGATAGTGACTAGTACTCTCATGCGACAGTCTGCATATGGAGGGGATAATGATATGTTTAGCTATATGAAGGTATAAGTAGGCAATACCTATTTCTTCTCTTAGTCTTTGTCAAACTTGTACAATTGTAGACTAGGTACGATATTGTATAGAGTATCTGCAAAGACGCGGATGATAGACTGATATTGAGTAATGACCCATGTTGAGAATTATTTTCCGGTATACGTTCTCCTTGTCTGTCTAGATCACTGTTCAGTATGTATACTCTATTCTCTATGGGAATTCAATGCATATTTAAACAGCAAGTGACCAGTGTATATTTTGACCAATCTGTAGACAAGCCCTATTGGTATCTGAATTAACCTCTTAATTACTCCCAGTATCTTCCCGCCATTCGGGGGATCTGCTATCATTGAGACCTCCGCATGAGCTGGAGTGAGATTCCTCACCCCGGAAAGGTGGTCCCGAAGTACACATATGTACCTGACCCTAACCCGCACCCCCGCATACTATCGGGCAATGAGCTCGGAACGATGGGAATGGCCCACAGGAGCCGATGCGGTGTCTATTGATGGCTGAACCTACTCGCCATTTATTATGGGCGAAAGGCCATGTCTGTTGTAGGCCGAGCAACCATAACGACCCATTTCCTTTGGCTTACATGTGCAGCATGACGGCTCTGAACGGAACACTTGTGGTGAACGGTACCACCAATACCGCCGTACCGCTGAAGATCCTCGTCGTTGGCGGTGGTATTGGGGGCTTGACAGCAGCAATCGCGCTCCGCAAGCAGGGCCATGACGTACAAATCTTTGAACAGTCCCGACTGGCGACAGAGACGGGTGCTGCACTCCATCTTGCGCCAAACTCAAATGGAATTCTAAAGCGCCTGGGAGTCTTTGCGGAGGAGTCTGGTGCCAACAAAATGGAACGGGTGAGTGAAGCTGGCTGGCCGCCGCAGTCTGAATGAGTCGAATACTAAATAAATGTGCATGTTGGAAGTTAACCGAATACACTGCCACTGGAGAGCTGGACAGGAGTCTGGATCTCACGGAGCCAAACAAGAGGTGGCAGCATGTGAGTAACCGGTCTAGTAGAAATATGGCAAGTCGAATCGAGTGAGTGCTAACTTACGGGCTCCTCTTTGCTGGGTTAGCAATGGCTTCTTGCTCATCGAATCGAGCTCCACAACCAACTGAAAGCCATTGTGACAAATCCAAGAGACGACAAAGATGCCATTCCCTTTCACACTGCCAGCAGAGTGGTGTCTGTAGACCCTGTTGAAGCACGTGTCACGCTGGAGGATGGTAGACACTTCCAGGGGGATCTAGTGATCGGTGCAGATGGAGTCCATTCGGTCACAAGGAGCGCGATACCGGGAGGCAATGTCAAGGTATCTTGCTGTGGGAAGAGTGCATTTCGATTCCTGGTGCCAAAAGAAGCTGCGCTGGAAGACCCTGAAACTGCCAGGTTTGTTCAGGATCCCGGAGAATTGTGCATTTGGTACGGTCCAGATCGTCGCATCGTGATGTACCCTACTTCCAACAATACAGTGCTGAACTTTGTGGTGATCCACCCCGAGGCAGAGTCCGCGGATGAAGCAGAGGAGACCTGGGGCCAATCCGGAAACCTTGAAAAGATGCTTCAGATCTTCTCTGCTTTTGATCCAGCGGTTCTTAACCTTCTCTCCAAGGCAGATCCAAACAGTGTCAGGGTATGGAAGCTCCTGGATATGGAAGAAATTCCTCAGTGGCATAATGAACGTCTAGTACTGCTGGGAGATGCAGCGCACCCATTCCTGCCTCACCAGGGCCAGGGAGCCGGAGTTGCCATCGAGGATGCTGCCTCTTTAGCAGTGGTATTACCTCTAGGAACTCCGGTGGAAGAAGTGCCGCTGCGACTGCAGCTGTATGACCAGATTCGTCACCAGCGTGCTAGTCGAATCCAGGAGTTCTCTCGCCTAGCCGGTCGAGACCGGTCTGAGGAAACTGAGGCCCTAGATAGTAAGTGCTCGTATATCTATTTTCTTCTTTTTTTTTTTTAGAGAGAGAGAGAGAGAGAGAGAGAGAGGAGGACCGGAGGATTTCTTGATGCTAACCATATATTCTTATATCTTATTACAGTTTATGGCTTCACAAACTACAACTTTGGCCACGATGAATGGGACAATTCAACACAAAAGCTACGAGAGTGGACATGGAATCGCATCCCTAAGCCTTACTGGCGTATGCCCATTGCTTTTGGGCCCATGCCAGGTCCCCGGCAGACTCATTTAGGGGTCCCTCGAGATGGAAGTAAATCCACGTTCACCACCGCCTCTATCAAGTTCAAAACCTCTCGCACTCTACTCCAGAATCTGTTCCCCCCAGATCGACAGGGATGGCGTTTTAGCTCCCCAGATACGATTGCTTACGCGTCATTCTCGCAGACCACCCTCGACAAAATGGAGTGGCTTGGTGGATCCGGGTACAAGCATATTGGGCTGTACATCCATGGGGTGGAATATGTCAAGAAGGACGGCAGTGTTGTGAAGGGTTCATATCTGCCCATTCTTTTTGAATCCCTCACAGATCCAATTGTCTCTGGCCGTGAAGAACTCGGCATGCCGAAGTTGTACACATCTGTGGACGTTTACCGCCGCGCCACTTCTTATCGTATTCGCACCGGTTGGCAGGGAGCTCTGTGGGGGAACTTTCTTCTCGAGAACCTAGTTGAGGTAGACCCATCCTCGGCTACTGGTGGCATCAGCGGCGAGGCTGACGAGGGAATTTTGGCATACAAATACCTCCCCAAGTCTGGCCGTGCGAACAAAAACATACCGGCTGAGGAGTACCCGATCTTTGACCCATTTTCCGAAGCTGTTCCGACGCCCCGGCCGCAAAGAATGTTCACCACCACCCAAGCAAGCTTCCAAATAGACCCCCTCGATTGGGAGCAACTCCCGACTCTCCATCATGTCATCTCGCGGTTGGCAGAGCTCCCTGTGTATGAAATTGTTGGTGCCAAGCTGGTCGAAGGGGAGGGGGTACCTGATGTGTCTGGAGCCCGACCTATTGAATAGTTTGTTTTTGATGCAGGATATAATATCCAGGAAGATTAAGATTGGTTTATTCAATGTAATGTAGATGCGCAATGAGTAACTATCGACGAAGAATACAGTCAACATTCCTGAGGTCATATACACGCTATACCTAATATGGTAATCACGAGATATATCTTACTAATCAGCGCACTAGGCCGAGTCCGGACAATATGTTTCCTATAAAAGGGATAGTGCCAATTGTCTTGAAGTAATCACTTTTGAGGTCTTGTATAGAATGAAAGGCCTTGAGAAGAGAGTTTGGGGTGAAAGTACGCTTTTGGAGAGGTAGAGGGTTCAGTTTCTGCTGTAATTTATCATGGCCAGCGATACCCCTTTGTTTGTCGCCCTGCAAGCCGTCTGCTATTACCCCCGAAGCACCATTTATGATTCCTGTCCACGGTACCTCTTTTACGCCTTGCTCCTCACTAGTTGCATCACAAGATGGACAGGGTGGCTGGTAGATGTCTTCCTAGGGGCTGCGGTGGCATACGCAGGAACAGCAGCCATCCAGGCCTTTATCCTGGTGTCGAATCCCGCCAGTCGTCCATCGCCAGGCGTCGTCAGCATTCCCTGGATAGCGTCGAAGAATGAAACGAGCACTTTGTTGCAAAATTTCCCGCAATTGGTGACGGATGCAGACGCGATCGTTCTTGAGCCGGCAGCCCTCGAGCTAGATGCGGATGCTATACTCGCTGTCGTGGTGACTGGGTATCTAGTGTTTCTGCCCCTGCAATGCTGGTCTCGCATGTTGAGCCATAACCGGGCACGAATGATCCTTTTCTCTCTGTGGAATCTTCTAATGCTAGCCGGTTCGATTTGCGCATTGGTGTATTGGCCAATTATGCAGCGTACGCCGACCCAGTATATGTTTTGCTATCCCGACCTGCCGCCATTCGACACAACATCCAGCGATGGATGGCAGAAGTCGTGGAGAACGTCAACATGGAACGAAAGTGTATGGAGCATCTTCTCGAATGACACCAAGTTCCAACAATTAGGCGACCTTTGCTTCAATCCGTGTTTCAATACAAGTCAGATCCTGCGGCAACAAACCTCCATGCGTTCTTCAGTTATAAGCGACAGTGAACTCCAAGACGAGTCAAGCCATCACAGCCGCTTTTGGGACCAGGTCGTCTACTCAAAAGGATACATATATAGCTTGATTGTCCTCTGCATCATCTTAAATTGCCTTTTGCTGGCCTTCAAACTTCTGCCGTTGCGCTCGCGAATCCGATCTGCGCAGCCCATCTCAATATGGACGGACAGAAAGCTGATTTACCAAGGCCTGAAAGAAGACTTTTCGTTGGCGGTTACAGCATCTAAACCACATCATGCCCAGGATACCGAGATGCCTGATAGAAAAATCAAGAAAAGATGCAGCATTCTAGCTCCCATTCGACCCATTCTGACAACCACGTGTCTGACTGCTTGGCTTCGTTTCCTAGCCGGGGTTGCTATGCTTGTTGGACTCGTATTCAGTATCATCATCAGTCCCTTTACGGTCATTGCGTTCATTGTCTGGATTGAATGGTACATTCACCACGATGGAGCTTCGCAGGAGAACCCACAGCAGGTTGGACAGTGGGCGTACTTGGTTTCGATCGGACTGCTGGTAATATCCGCAGCGATTCTAAAGCTGAAATATCGAGTGGCGTCAAGGACAGAAATGGAGCTTGAGCTCGAGAGTACGCGGAGACATCTTGAGAATTTGGAAAAAATCAAGGCGTCAAAGTCCTAACTTGTATGGTTCGACAGCCTTTAAATGACGAGGGGAATATTCACGCATATAATAAACGCCTTCAGCTCCTACACATGGATCGTTTTAGAATGATTTGGCCTTCTATTCTAGATGCGACGAATAGATATCGATCCCTAATTTTATCTTCAGATTCAGCGTTAGGCCACTACTGCTGCAGAGTAAATTATATGAGAAGGCTGCATTGGAGCAACCGCACATACAGGATAAGCCAAGTAAATGGTAGATTAAATAGTTATTCCAAACATACGCCAGAGAAGACAAAAATATTAGGCTAAAGCTCCAGCCTTGCGCAGCTCTGCTTCGCTCCACTCCCAAAGACGGCGTCCGAAATCCTTACTCAACGCGTATATATTCTGAGGCTTGAGATGTCCCACGGGGATATAATATCCGCCATTGACCAGATCCTCTTTCTTTGCACCGGCAGCAGCCCACAACTGGTTGTGCGCGCCCACGGGGACAGACGTTCCAAGTACACTTAAGCCCTTGGAAGCCAAAGCTCCCAGCGCAGAGCTTTCACTCGCCGAGGCGTAAAGGTCTGTGAAAATGATCCCTGGGTGGACCGACACAGCGGTGATCGAGGGATACCGCCGCGCAAGCTCGGCGGCAAAGAGAATATTTGCTGCCTTTGACGCTCCGTATCGCGTGTTCGTGTTGACCTTTTTCAATTTCTCTTGGTCCAGGATGGTCTCAAAGGGTGGTGCAAGGTTGTGGCCAACCGAGGAGAGCGAGACCACGCGGACGTCTGAATGAGGCTGCTCCTCTGCAGTCTGGAGTAATGTCGGAAGGAGGAGTTGTGTCAGGAGAAAGTGGCCGGTATGGTTTGTTCCCAGCTGGATCTCATGGCCCAGTTCTGTCTCTCCTGGCGGGAGAGCCATTACACCCGCGTTGAGCATGAGGATATCGAGTCGCGATGACTGTGCACAGAATTCCTGCGCGGCGTCTTGGATGGATTGAATCGACGTCAAGTCCAGAGGAAGCCACGTAATGTCTACTTCGTTCTGCAATTCACTTTTGAGCGACTCGATGGCGCGCTCTGCCTTGGGCTTTGACCGTGCCGCGAGGAAGATCTTCTTAGGGTTATGCTTTGCGAGCTGCAGGATGGACTCCTTTCCCAGCCCGGCGTTTCCTGTGGATGTTAGTTAGCATTTCGTCAGTCGGCATTTTGGTGCATGGGCATCAGATCATCATAGTTACCTCCTGTCACCAAGAGAACCTTTCCTGACAAGTCTCCTATATTCCGATCGGGATCGAAGCTCACTCCTCCCATGTAGTTGCAGGGGTTTAGGGCTGCCGCAAGGAACGCCGCCATTTTTCAACCCGGAATGCAGTCACTTCGTCTGAATACTCTCTCGGGATATAGTTTATCGAGCTTGATATGCCAAATCCATTCGGCGGCAAATAAGGCTTATTATACGCTTCCAGCAGTCCTGCGTACTGGATTATTTCCAAAGGAGGGCAGCAAAGACCGACAGACAAGCTTGAAGCTGGCATGGACGGATACGTAGTTTATTGTCCCCGCTCCCGGCTCTGCCGAACAAGCCGCGATTCCTGGATTTAATTCAATAGTTGTGAGATAGGTTTGATCTAATTTACCATCTCGGTGGAGAAGGTCCACCTGGAAATCCTGGGCCGGAAGCGAATCACAGCATATCCAATTCCTCTGAATCCCATCGAGAAAACACTGCTGGTGCCTTGAAATCGGCTCTGGAAATCCAGATGTAGCCCTAACTATGGAGAAGAAACGGTAGCTCGCCAGATTGGCACAGTTTTGTCTGTATAATCGGTTACGATTGTAGTACTGTGGTAGAGGTTATCCGATGTGAGGCGCTTCAAGCTTGGGATGCGGTCGAAATGAGACTGCCAACGAGGTATTCCACAAAGTCTGGAATGGCTATTGGAATGGCTATTGGAATGCCAAAGTTTGGAATGAATGATCATGGAGTATGCAAGAACATCAGCGGAATGTGTTAAGTGGGATCGAGTCAACTCCAGTAAAGACTGTCAAGGACGGCTGTTTTACAAGCTAGAAATGAATGGCCATAACTCATACTAGTCGTTTGACTTGAAGTATATACTCCGGATATAATGAATTAACTTTGCATTCGATCCTCAGCTGAAGTACAACTTCTATATATATGAACACCCCCCAACTCCTTCATCCCCTCTCTCTCTAGCCGTATGTAGTAATAAATCTCTATCAAAGCCACTATTTTCCAGCCGCTGAGAATTCAAGCATTAACGAAAGTGATATCGATGATGCGGCCGCCGTGACGGCAATTGCGCTTCATGGGCGCGAGTTTCCAGCGTATAGGTAAGCTGGTGGTACCCGAGATTCTGGGCGAGTTGGAGCGGCGTCAGCCCCTGACTATCGATCTGCGCAATGTCTGGCTTGCCCCACTGGTTTCCTTTGCGAATACGGGAGCATTCGTGCGCCGCGGCGTTCAAAAGACGCTGTCGACGCCGGCTATTTTCCGCAATGGTCGAATTTGGAGGCGTTCGCGCAATGGCGGTTTCCACACCCCGGATGGCTTGGTGAAGGAGCGTGCCGACTGGCGTGCCGGCGCCGAGGTCTAGGTTGCGGAGGTGTGGAAAGATCGTGCGGAAGCATTTGCCTTTTGTTCTTCTTTGGTAGACGAGGTGGTGCAGAACGGACTTTCCGCTCCGGGTTGGGGCGGTGATATCGGCCCCGTAGGAGATGAGGCGCGCCGTTATCTCTGGAGATTCCTCCAGCATCGACGCCATGTAGAGTGGTGTGCTTTGGCCACTCGTCTGATCATTGATTAGGTGGCGTGCGTGGACGGAGAGAAAATCCAGGAAGTCGAGATTCCGGTTCGACATCGCACTGTGCCAGGATATATCCCGGGTCATGGGGTCAGCAGGCATGAGAGCCACATTAAGGCCCTGCTGTAGCAGCGACTGCGCCAGGCCTCCCGAAATATACGTGCACAGGTTGCATATGTCGTCGCGGCTCAACGCTGGAGTGGGGTTTGACGCGATCGAGACACACGCCCACATCTGGACGAAACAAGAAAGAAGCTCTTCTTTGCCTTCGACCGCGAGAGTCCAGTAGGATGGCGCACCGAGTCCTATGCGGGCTCTGTCGTGTAACAGCTCCTGGGGCGAGTAGAAGCTCAAGAAATAGTTGGCCACGCGCTCCGCTCGATGGGCAAGCGCAAACCCAAGGGCTGTCCAGCCAGTATGCGTATAGGATCTAACCGTAAAGAGACCCGCTCTACTGAGCATCTGAAGACTTGCTATGGCATCATACGCAATGAGGCGTTCGGCCAGCCAAATTGGCTGGTCATGGGCGGGATACGGGACACTCCATGTCCCCCACTCCCCCATGGACAGTTGATTCGGGTGATTATTGTAATAAGTAACGACCGAACTGGCGGTGCGCAGAATGGGTGGGCGATCCAGCCAGATTCCTTTCTGAGCTCCGTACTGGTAGAGGTCTACTATCAGATCGGGCCGTGCAGCGCACATGGCGCAGAGACCGTCGTCTCCAACCAGAGTAAGGATATCATCGAGGATATGATATGGTAGTCGAAGATTAAAGATTGGGTCTGGCATCTTGCTGTCGACTGTGGTATGAGAATGTGAAGATGCGTTTCAGACGAATTTGCACCAGATTTACTATCGGGCAAGGAATTAAGCCCATATATTATTCATTCTCTAGCTATTCAGCATAACACATGCATCTCAATTGAATCAAATGGGCCTCGAGGGAAAACCTCCTCACATTTTGGTTTCTTTATGTGATAGAGCACTAGCGCAGAGGCATGCCCTAAACAAAGAGATGCAGCATTAGATGAGCTGATTCTTTCAATTGTTCTCTCGAGAATAAGGAAGGACCCTTAGCTGAATATAAATAATGGTTCATTGTTGGAGTCCTAAAATAGTTCTTTGCCTTTGAACATTTGCGTCCTTTATAACAGTTTCAGCTTTATCCGTCAAACAGTCTTTGAGTCTACAAATGGATCAAAGATTGCTGCCAATTGAGAACTCAGTGCTCTTTTGTGATCGTAATTATGTGGTGCCTGTGGAATGAACAAGAGGGAAGAACGAGAGCGCAGTTGACTGGAGTCGTTCGTTTTGCGGATCTGGTTGGTGTATTTTAGCTGCTAAATTCAAAGTGAAGCAACGGCTCCTCTAATCAAGGGCGCTACTTGTTTTCTACTTTGGGCCACATTTGTCTGCGTCCAGATCCGAATCCACGGAGAATCTTCTGCAGAATTAACCCATGTATCCTTGATGTCTTGGGCAAAATCATCTCCATCGAGTGAAGACCATTCCTCCAGACCGAGCCGAGAGCCGGCCTCGGAGAGAAAAGTCTGCAATGCATCAACTGCATGTTGATTGTTCAAAGCGCAAACAAGAAGCTCGCGAGAAAATTGGCCATCCTTTGCGGAGCTAAACGCAGTCATCACGACCACGATGTCTAGTTTTCGATTGGTCGCAAATGTCTGCAAGGACTGGAGAAACGGCTTAGGGCCGCCTGCCTTTCGGACAATCCACGGTATCGATTTGACCATAGAACAAATGCCGATCTGTATAGGGGAGGGTGTATCGGTTTGCTGGGAGGTCTTTTCGGCCCATTCCTTATAATCCCGGTCCAAGATCTCATCCACAGTCAGCAGTTCGAGACTGTTCTGCTTTGATTCGTTGACTTGCATATAAAACGTATTAGGGTCCCAAGAAGAACGAGCCAGCGACTGGTTTGTTTTCGGAAGGAGAAAATCATAAGCCGCGGTGTCAAATTCGGTCACCTTGTCTTTCGCTGAAAGGTTTGCGGTGTCGATTAAAATAGGGGCCACCGCAAGCCTGGCCATTTGCTCGTCGGTAATTTCAAATGAGCTGCTGAGCTCTCCACCCTTTGGATCGGAATCTTGCTTCTCGGGCCTTTCCCAAAGACCCATTGTCTCCAGTATATTTACCACGTGCGAAGTACATGACCCTGTTGGCTCCACAAGATAAGGCTGTGTTGGGGCGATGGTGGGAAGAAACCTTTCATCCGTGTGATGATCGATACAACCGAGTACATTAAATTCCACCATCGACAGGCCGACCAGCGATCCATGGCCTGGTTGGCGGTCCGTCGACCGTATCGGCAACGCATTCCAATCTACAAGAACCGAGTCTGCGTGTAATCGGTGTTCCACCCCACTCACTCCTTCCTGCTTCAGATGTGTGGCAAAGTCGGCTACAGTAAGGAAATGGTCTCGGAAAAGGGAATTCTCGTCAACCTCCAGCGTCTTCTCTGTAGTATCTCGCCCTGTCCCCGGACAACCAGAAAGCCATAACGCTTTGGCAAATTCGGGACGCAGCCGACGGAGTTCGGGGCCAGCAGGAACCTTCTCGAGGTTTATCACCGGTACATGAGGCCGGGGGTTGTCACACGGGACACGATTATTTGCGAAATATGAGTAGACCAGCGCAGAAACGATCGAGTCGAGGTCCGCGGAGGGGTTCCCAATGACGTAGATGGGAGACTCTGCACGCGATAATGCGCCAGAAACGAAGCGTTGATGGACCTGAACAGCTGCTCTGAGGAATTGAAACAGGCCGTGATCTGGAGGATGCGGAACTCGCATCATTGGTCTCGATTTACCAGTTTCTCACGTTAATTCTGCACATTAATGAAGTTTTTTCAAGAAAAAAAATGCCAGAGGAAATGCGGGGGAGAGCCCGGGAGCCGGAAGAACGAGGCCCCGGTGACGACTTCCTCTATCCAGCCTGCATCTGCCAAAAGAAAAAAAACACCAAAATACAGAAAGAAATGACGGGAATGCCTTTAAAAGCAGCTATTGTGGTTGTTTCGGATACCGCTTCGGTAGCTCCCTTGTCGGACAAAGTAGGGGGAGTCTTAACGGACGTATTTTCAGCAGAGGGCCCCAATAACTGGGAGCAACCCGTCACCCAGATCGTCCCCGATGATGTGCTTCAAATCCAACGGGCAGTGTGCGGGTTGGCAGATGGACCTGACCCGGTGAATCTTATCCTCCTCAGTGGGGGTACTGGGTTTGCTGTAAAGGACAATACCCCGGAGGTTGGTTTCACTCTTGAGCAACCCTATTCTCGGGTAGTAATGGAGCCTACAGGCAGTGTCACCTTTGCTCCATCGCCAGGCCCCTGGTCTTGTGTATGTGGAATTTGTCTTTGCTCCTCGTTTTGATGTTGAGATTTCTAACCTGTAGCGCTTAGGCACGGTATGATTGCCGCTTCTTTAAAGATCACTCCTTGTAGGTCTCCCCGATTAGCTTGGCTTCTCGCTGTATGTACTAAATCACTTCAGTCGCCATGATGTCGAGACCAGTGGCTGGTGTCCGCAATAAATCCTTGGTCATTACGTTGCCAGGGTCTCCCAAAGGTGCCAAAGAAAACCTCGAGGCAGTCATTAAGCTTTTGCCTCATGCCTGTATTCAAGCAGCCGGGGCAGACTCCAGAGCACTTCACGCCGGCGGTGTTAGGAAGCTGGAGGCTGAAGCAGGTGTGGCCTCAGATACCAACTCTGAAACCCAGTCGAGCCATCATCATCACCATCACCATCACGACCATTTCCGTGGCCATGGCCACGTTGTCCCGAGACCTCACACCACTCCGTCTGAAATACCAAGGTCCAATGACCCTAGTGCAGGGGCCAATCGACGACATCGAGAATCGCCGTATCCGATGATTTCTGTGGACGAAGCACTAAAACTAATTTCATCGCAGACCCCAGAACCAGAAATAGTTGAGGTCCCCGTGACTACCGCGCTGGTAGGATCCGTCATTGCGGAAGACGTCCATGCCGCGGAGGCTGTGCCGGCCTACCTAGCTAGTATTGTCGACGGCTATGCCGTCATCGCACCTGAATCTCCAACAGCTGGTCCGAGTACTAAAGGAGTTTTCCCTGTGGCTTCGATCACCCATGCCAATGAAGAAGGGGCTCTGGCGCCACTTGAGCCGGGCACAATTGCGCGAATCACCACTGGAGCTCCTCTACCTCCAAATTCAAATGCAGTGGTCATGGTTGAGGACACACTGTTGGCCTCTTCAACCCCCGATGGCAAAGAAGAAGCAACTGTAGAAATCTTGACGGGGGATATCCGGCCAAATGAAAATGTACGCAAACCGGGTAGTGACGTTGCGCTCGGGTCCAGAATCCTTCAACGAGGGGATCTAATAACTTCTGTTGGAGGTGAGATTGGTCTCCTCGCGGCAACAGGGACAAGGACGGTCAAAATCTTCAAGAAGCCGACTGTGGGAGTCCTCAGCACGGGAGATGAACTTGTTGAATATAACGATCCAAAAACTCTCCAGGGGGGCCAGATACGGGATTCGAACCGACCGTCTCTCTTGTCCTGCTTGGAATCCTGGGGGTTTCCAACCGTCGATTTGGGCATTGCTCGGGACACCCCCGTAGGGGAGCTTGAGCAGAGTCTCCGAGACGCTCTTCGCGGGGTAGGAAGAGCCAATACTAGTGTGGATGTGATTATCACCACGGGTGGAGTATCTATGGGGGAGCTTGACCTACTCAAACCTACTATCGAGCGATCCCTTGGTGGAACCATCCATTTCGGCCGTGTCTCCATGAAACCAGGCAAGCCAACAACGTTTGCCACCATCCCCTTTAAATCCGCATCCTCCACGCAGGAGGGACAGCAGGAACGAAATTCCCGATTGATCTTCTCTCTCCCGGGCAACCCAGCCTCAGCCCTGGTGACACTGAATCTCTTCGTGCTGCCGTCACTGCACAAGCTCATGGGTCTTGGCCAGAAGCAACTTGGGCTCGGACTCAGCCCTAGTTTCGGGTTGCCTCTCGTGGCAGTCTCTTTGGCTCATCCATTTCCGGTTGACCCTCAGCGCACCGAATACCACAGGGCCATAGTGACGGCGTCACGAAAAGATGGTCGACTTTACGCTTCAAGCACCGGTATTGAAGGGGTTGGCCAGCGAAGCTCACGAGTTGGAAGTCTCGCAAGTGCCAATGCACTATTGGTGCTACGACCAGGAAAGGGGGCGGTTGCACAGGGAACCTTGGTTGAAGCTTTGATGATGGGTCTTGTTGTGCAAGAATTAACATGATATATATATATATATATTCTCTCACACTTCTATCTCTCTTACCAGGATAATCAACTGCCTTCCTCCGATATCACCACTTAGACCCAAAAGTAAACAAACGAAAGAAATAATACCCTACCTTCTATCCTAAACTATACTACCAATATCAATAATGTATTTCGCACATGGCATACAGTGAATTTAATACAGGAAACTTGTACAACGTAATGAACCCCCGGGATATCCTCCCATATCCCTCCATCTCTACACTGATAAATGAACATCCAAACAATGGCTCTCCTCCTGGTCAATCATGCTGCTCATTTGGGTGCTTGTGCTTTCATCCTTGATGCGCACGTAGTAGTCACAGAAGCCCGCATGCTCGATATGTTGCCACTTGCCAATGTCACGCTCCTCGTCGGATGCATCGATCTCTTTCGGCCGGTTCCCTAGTCCCAAGTTATACGGGCGGTATTTCGGGTCATTCCGCAGACGACGAAGGACACTCGCGTGGATTTTAGCCCCGGGGGGCAGTGGCCGTCTCGTTCCCCAGGTATGCCATCGCGACATGCGCACTGCCCCATCCGGCGCCACTTTGGGTCGCTTGAAGGGCAGACACTCCAGCACACGCCAGAAGAGCGTTTCCACCAGGTTCCCGGATTCATACTGCAGGGAGTCATGCAGGGGCGCCTGCTCCGCGGCCTGCACAACACCTACGTGGAGCGACTCCTCCTGGGGCTCGAAACACCCGAGCTCTCGCAGCTGCTTAGGGTCAAACGTCAGCCCGGCCCGCTGGGCCTCCTCGACCATCCACATCAGGGGGATCTGGCTCGCGGTGTATCGGTTTCCGTTCAGGGGCGGCCACCCCCCTCCGACATCGCTGTGGTCGCCCGCGAAATACACCTCCTCGAAGTTCGGGTTCATGTTGGGCGACGGCTCGGCCGCAGCACTCCCGTCGCCGCATCGCCCCCTGAGGGCCAGATTGGCCGTCATCATCTCGTCTCCACGGCCGGCCCAGGTGCTTATGCGTCCGGGCCGGGCGGTGGGCCCCCGCGACGGCCGCATCTTTTCAAAGATCACGGGCTGGAATTTGATGCGGCGTTCGTCGATGCTGACGGCGTGCCGCAGGATGCGGGGGTTCGGTAGAATCGTCCCGTCGTCTTCGTTTTCCGAGCCGTCGTACGACCGGTTGAACTCGGCGACGCTGTTCACGGTGTCGAAGAGACCGAGGAAATGCACGTATCCAATCGGCCGGCACATTCTGGTCCGGCACAGTTCCAGACAGCGCTTTGCTTCCTCTCGTTCCGGGCCGGGACGCGCAAACTTCCACCGCGTAAATGCGCGCCACACGGACGGGATCGTTTCCTCGTTATCTGCTGAGATGAGCCCGACAAAGTCCAGCATCTCGTTCAGAAACCGCGCCGTGTAGGCCCCGCGAGAGAACCCGAAGAGGTAGATCCGGCTGCCGGGGATCCAGCGCCGCGCTAAAAACCGGTATCCCTTGATCACATGTCGGTCGAACGACGCTGCTAGGGCTTGGTCTAGGATCTTGTTTGTGGGGAGATTGCGAAACGCGACGTTGGCAAAGGCGCCCGGAGTGATATCGGTTCCAATACCAGCTGGGAAGATTCTCTTTGGTCAGTCAAATCCAATCAATTCCTTACGTCTCATTAAGGAACGAAAGCATAAGGATGAATTTCGGGCTCATACGTTGATAATAGCAATCTAAAAAGGCTTGATGTGAGTTACCGCAAGTATCGCCATGAGACAGCTGCACGGGTACTACTTACATCGGTCTTCTTTGTTGCGATCAAGCATGCCAAAGATCTTCAGGATATTACTCTCCGAGCCATCGGGGACAAACGTGTTTCCTGTCCCGTCGAAACAGAGTACCAGCTCTTGAGTCGGCGAACACTCGCACGGGTAAGTCATTTTGCCTGGTGCCAGAGAGAATATGGAGAACTTCCTCCCCCCCAAGTCTTTCCCGGGGGCATCTTTTTCTTTTCCAGGTGTATAAATATGAGCAGTATGCATCTTGGGGCAACGACATGCTGCAGGTATTATCTCATCCATGAACCGACACCGCACCAAGCGCGCTGCGCTACAGCGTCATTTTCTTGAATACAGACCATGCGTCGACAGTTAAGTGGCGTAGAATTCTCCGAACAGTCAATAATTGAGCTGTAAGGGATGGTAAGGCCATAGTTGGGGGGTTCGTACTCCCCCAATAACAACAATAGCAGACCTGGCGTGCAAATCTGACTGGTTGACAGGAAATATGAAGCTTCCCTTTCTTCGCCATGAACTGAATTCGCAGCAGCCGCCGCGATAGACAGCTAGGTGGCACTGAGCTTCGTGGAGATATCCGCTGCACTGTGGGAGCGTTGTGACATATCCAGCATCATGATACATTCAACCCCCCTCGATTATTACCGGTACCTACATGTTCAACAGAAAGTCCAAGATAGGAGAGAAAAGCCTTTTCAATGAAAGCGGTAATTGAACTGTACCAAGTGGGACGCCACTGCAGCGATATTGCAGCACCAAGCCAATCCAGTGAACAAATGCCGGGTTTAGAAGGATATCATGTTCTACGTCATGGTAGAGATAATATGCATCCTCCCTATGCAGCCAGGCGTTGTGTATCCCATCCTTATTTCAACATGGACAGAAGAAGAGAAGAGGGATATCACACCTAGACTCCAGGGCACTTCTGACTACCTGGCTTGCATATTCCCAGTAGCAGGGTTTCCAACCCAGTATGAAATGACGGAGTCCACCTTTACCAGGCAATTAGTGAATGGATATATAAGAGACAGTATGGAAGCGTGGAGTTTTATCAGAGCTTCTTCCAGCTTAAGTGGCAAATGGTTATACATACAGTAGCATTACCAGTCTCTGCTATCATTTACCCCCAATTCTATAGCTAATCTTCTAAATTTCCTCTCCCATGAAGCTCATGGAGCTTAGCCAGTCAACTATGCCCGTGATGGCTGCTCCTGTACTCGGGTTGATATGGATGTTCATATCCCAGAGGTCAGCGGGATGAAAACTTGCGGTAATCTGAGCGAAGAGAAGCGGTAGCTGATTGTGAACTTCAACCAGCTGATGGAAACATTCGGACAGAGCCTTGGTGAGTGTCTGAAGCTGCTGGGAAGACTCTTGAGAGTAGTAGGTGTATCCGTCCAGGCCGTTATGTATAGTCTCGATTGCTCTGGTCCAGCTCATCGCAAAGAATCTAAGAAGCCCAACGCCTGACAATCATCTTGTGGGATGGGCTTGTTCGTTTCGAACCCTGGCTATTTGATACTGAGATAAAGCCTGGATGCCAGCTTCATCTGCCCTGCATCTGGTGATTATTATCCAAGACAAGACCCTGAGATCTGGAGAAAGAAATAACGAATAAATAAGGATAACTTCTGCTTAAGTAAACACTGACTCAGCACAAGGCATCCAAGGCATCTACATCTCTGACGGAACCGATAGAAATGAATCAACCTTTATATATGTAGACGGCTATATCATTCTACTATTGAGCTACCTACTGGATAACCCCAAATCCAACAGATCGATAACTGGCTCTGAGCCCTTCTCCAGATTTCCCCAATTCTACCTAGACATCACATCACGCATGGCAACAGATCGGCCATCTACGCCCCCTACATCGGCCGGCGCTCCGGGGATTGGGGCACAGCCCCAGAGCCAGCTTACCCCGGAGCAACTGAAGAAAATCGTAAGGGTTCATTGAAAAGCTTCAAGGCTAGCGCGACTGCTGTTGATAGTGATTTGCGCAGGAAATCAACCGGATGAAAGCCAAGGCCCTGCGAGAACAGCGCGAGGCAGAGCGGGCTGCGAGACCGGCTGCTACGCCTGCAAAGGGAGTCAAGCGGTCATATTCCTCTTTAACCGCATCCGAAACGCCTGGTACCGTTCGCGACGGGCGTGCCAATAATGCCTCGGCGGATCAGCCTCTGGATTCCATCAAACCGGCGCGGAATTTTACGAAATATGTCGAATATGATTTCAGCAAGATGACGGATACGAAGGGAGGGTTCTTGACACAAGAAGACGACCCGTTTAATAAGGCGCTGCATGTCCGCGATGAAAAGGAGCCGAAACCCGCGAATCTGACGCAGGCGGAATGGGAGCGGCAGAAGTTACTCACTTCGCTTCGTCGCGATCGCGCGGGCCCGTTTGAGCCGAGCATCAGCGTGCTGGACGAGAAGAGCCAGCAGAAAACCTGTCGCGAATGCGGCAGCCTGGAGATCGACTGGAAATGGGAAGAGACCCTTCACTGTCGCGTGTGCAATCCCTGCAAGGACAAGTATCCGGAGAAATACAGTCTTCTCACGAAAACCGAAGCCAAGGAAGACTACCTCTTGACAGACCGTGCGTGACTACATAACCTGTGCCTGTTGCTTGCTAACATGCTCCTAGCCGAGCTTCGGGATGAAGAGCTCCTACCGCATCTCGAACGCCCAAATCCCCATAAATCGACGTGGAATAACATGATGCTCTATCTACGATACCAGGTCGAGGAGTACGCGTTCTCTCCCAAGAAATGGGGCTCCGCGGCGGCGCTGGACGCCGAGTTCGAGAGCCGCGAGAATGAGAAGAAGCGACGGCGTGAGGCCAAGTTCAAAACCAAGCTACAGGACCTGAAAAAACGGACGCGGGTGGAGGCCTATCGGCGGAATCGACAGGGGGCCGCCGGGGGCAGCTTCGGGGACGATCTGGGCAATGGGGGGAGGCATGTTCACCAATGGGGGAGGTCTCTCCTGGATCCAGAGACGGGAATCGGAACCAAGAAATGTGTGGATTGTGGCATGGAGGTCGAAGAGCTGGAATTTTAGACGACCGATTAATGTATCATAGATGATTCCCCGACGATATATAATGAATCCACGACATGCACTCGGCGTACTGGACAGGACTCCGGACAGGAATGTTGCCGATTGATGTAACACCATTTATTCCATTGGACTCTGCAGCAGCGCAAATAATCCGCGGTATGCAATTGAGCCATGCTAACACCATATCTCAATCTCCATTTACATCTTCAAAATTCCCGGGGACACGGGGTATTTAAAATCTACCGTCGAGCATCAATCTCCTCCAACCTTGATGCGATCAGTATAAAGCCAACATCCGCACGCTCATAATAGATCCTCGATCGCATCAAAGATCTCTACTCCTTTAGCCGCCATGCCTCTCAGACTCCTCTGTCTCCATGGCTGGGGAACCAATATCAACGTGAGTCCTTCTTCCACATCATCCATGCACAACTGACCAACTGACTCTTCCAGATCCTCCAATCCCAACTCAGTACGTATTTAACCTCTAACCTCCACCCTGCTACAAACCCCCTAACTACGCACCCCAAAAGGCGCCCTCATATCCGACCTCCACCAAGACAACACCGCAACATTCTACCTAATCGAAGGCGAAGTCGACTCCGTGCCCGGCCCCGGCATCGAAGGCTTCCACGAAGGCCCCTACTACAGCTACTACCACTTCCCGCAACCCCTCTCGACGCCCTCCGAAGCCGCCACGGAATCCCTCCTCCACGCCTACGACAGACTGTACCGGGTGCTCGCCGAGGACGGGCCCTTCGACGGCCTCCTGGGCTTCTCGCACGGTGGCACCCTCGCCGCGGGGTTCCTGATCCACCACGCGAAACTGCACCCGCACAGCGACCCGCCCGTGCGCTGTGCGGTCTTCATCAACGCCTTGCCCCCGTTCCGCATGGACGCGGCCGATCCCGGCAGCGACCCCGCCAGCGACCCCGTCCCCGTCGTCGACGAGGATCTCCACGGGTACATCAATATCCCCACGGTGAGCGTCGGCGGCGCCAAGGACCCGCTGTGTCGGTATTCGGTGGCGCTGCATCGCCTGTGCCATTCGGCGCTGGCGACCTGGGTGCTGCATGGCCGCGGGCACGACGTGCCGCGGGACCGGCGCGACGTGGCCTTGATTGCGGCGGCGATTCGCAAGTTGGCTGTGCAGGTTCAGGTTCGGGTGTCGATGGGGTGTTGGTGATTTGTACTTTACTTTACTTTACTTTACTTTCGTCTTAGGGTATTGCGTTTGATACATACATACAGAGAGAGAAGGGGGGGAATATCAGATTACATCTTGGATACTCGGATTCTACTAGTTAAGATGGTTCATACATCACTTATATATATGTATATGTGTATACTCCGTAGCTCTGACTTACGAAGCCATTTGTTTGTTGTCTTATGCACAAGTCTACTTAGTCGACTTGAACTAAATATGGCAAAGAGCACATCCGTAACCAACACTGGTCTATAGAACCGTTTGACTCGCCAGTCAACGGATAACGAGGGTCCAAATCGCGGCCCGGCGGAAGGAAAGGAAACAAGTTCAATATCAGATAAGTACACCACCAACCGTGCTAATGAATTAACGAGAAAAAAGGGAAGAAAAAACTACAATGCGCCGGCGTAAGACAAGCAAAATTTGCATAATCTACCAAAAAGGGAGCATGAATCCCAGAGAATAAAAGCACAAGGTATAGAGGCTGCAGAAGGACGGAAAAGAGGGGAACATAAATCGTTAGACAAAAAGTAGTATCGTCCCATAAAAGACGGGGAGGGGGAAGGAAAATTAATAATATGCGAATTAAGCTACCAAAGCAATCAACATCTAGCCCCCAACATCGGTATTAGGAGGGTCCTCTTTCGATGATTCCAGGCCCGTTCCGGCCGAAATAAGAGTAGGCGCTACTCTTCTCTTCTTCGGTTGCTGAGCCCGCTCGGTGGAGCCGGTGTCCTCTTTCTCAGACTCGTTTCCCCTCTTGCCTAGAACGCTATTGCTCGCGTTGCTTGGCCCGCTCTGGGAAACAGCTGACATCGGCGTCTGCGGCGGTGTGGTGAGAGGTAAGGTAGTGGGAGGTTGGGCGGAATGAGTGGCAGTTACCAGAGGCACGGAGCCAAGCGTTGGTGTGGGATTATTGACCACGGATCCGGCCGCCTGCTGCGAGGGCCCCCCCTGGGTTGTGATGGAAGACACCGAATTGGACCGAGCAGGGCTCGCAGGCGGAGCATGGACCGTGTTTGCGACGGGGGCGGCTATACTCGGTTTCGCCGGGGTAGGTGCAGGAGCAGAGGTTGCTAATGACCCAGCCGCCGCTGCAGTCTGGTTCGTTGCTGGTAGTGGACCAGTGTACGGCTGACCCAGCTCGCCTGGGGAAAAGGAAAGCGTGGAGCAGAAGCCGTCAGAAGAGCTCATGATCAGAGTGAGACCATCGTTTGACCTAGGTGCGGTTAGCAAACCCGAACTACAAAAGAGATATTAGACAGTGAATCCAGCTTTACCAAGTCAGATCAGTAAACGTGGCAAAATGTAAATTGCTGACCACACAGAGTGGAGCTTGCTGCTGAGAATCATACACCAGGACAGCATCCTGGGTAGCCACTGCATACACGAATCGATACGGCAGTGAGAAGACTGAGACAAGTGGCTGATTAGCAGAGACATCTCCTTCAGCAGGCTTGGCAGTTGTATCGTTCTTCGAGTTGCCAGCGGTATGGGACGATGGTGGTTCCATAGCGGATCCATTACTTGTGGTATTAACCACCGGGTCAGGAAGCGATGCAAACGATTCCTCTCCGGACGAGGTATCCAGAGTGATGTGCCGGGAAGGCTCGGGGGCCTGCCGCAGGGTGTAGAATACAGGCGAGCATCGGACAGCAACTGACGGTTTCTTGTGGCCGGGGAGATGTGAAATGGGAGGCTTGTTAAATCCAGCACGAGTGTAAACATAAACAGTGTTAATCACTTCATCGATGGTTTTCCCCGGATCTGTCGCAGACACATGCGATGTCTTGTACTGGCCCGCGGGCGTAAAAAGCAGGCTTCCGTCCGGAGCAAAGGTGAGACGCCTGAAAAAGGACGTGAAAGTCTCATTCGCGTAGATGTTGGCATTTCTCACTCCCAATCCACCCAAGACTCCCGGAGACGGCACTTCCAATGGTTTGACTGCCGGCAAGGGCAATGACGGTGCTGGTGACGCGGAGCGACGGATAGACGGCGAGGAGCCAAACGAAGACCTGCGACTATGCGATACCGGAGGTGGATCCATTGGCAAATTCGAGGCCATCGGTGTGCCTGGAGTGGAAGGAATTGGAGAAGCGATAGCGACCGAGTTCCCCGTCGCCGGTTGGGATCGGATGGAGAGATCTGGAGGGGCCGGGCTACTAGAGGCGATTCGTTTCGCGGGTAAATCCATCTTCAAAAATTTCCCATGCGATGTCAGGGTGAATTGGCCGTCTTTTGTCTTCAGGTTGTAAATGTGAACAGATCGATCGGATGATTGTGTCGCAACAAATTCGTTCAGAGGATCCCAGGCTACGCCTTGTACGTAGTGCGAATGCTCTGCAATCTGGCGCACCATTTGACCTAGTATAGAAGAATGGCTTGCGGTCAGCATGTTTTCCCATAAAAAAAAAGAAGAGAAACGAAAAGAGAAAAAAAAAAAAATCAAATCCCAGTCACAAGGGATACAGTCGAAAATTCGGCCTACCTGTGTGTGCATTATAAATGCGAGCAATATTGTCCATGCTTCCAGTGATGATAAAGACACCATCCGGAGACCACGCGAGGTCATATACCTCAGCGCCAGAGGAGCGACACATATGCTTCACGCGCCAAGTTTCCTTGTCGTCCGAACGATCGTCACCGAGTCCAGGTTGTGTCTGTAGTTCTGAAGGCACCCAGAGCAACACATTGCCATCATCGCCAGCCGATGCCAGCATCTCACCTACACAATGTTAGAGAGAGAGAAGATTTCCTAGGCTCCTGTGAATGCCATGCCATACCTTTCGGGCTGAAACGAACAACATTGACGGCCTGTGTGTGTTTCACCAAGGTGCTCAAGTAAGCCACCTTTCGGTCCTGACCAACCGTCTCCACTTTCCATAACTGTAATTCCTCGAGAGTCAGAGCTGCCGGGAGGATAAAGGAGAGATATGGGTATATATTGGGGGACATCGAGAGGGGAGAGGGGGGGGGAAGGGGAGACGGCGAACGCACTCGGACGTTGTTATCACTGTAGCAGCAGAGAACCAAGGGTTAGCCATGGAAGCTCACGACGCCAAATGGATGGTTAGGGATCAGGAGACGTACTTCCCAGCGGTAGCCAGGCGACCTTTGCCATTGGGGTCGAAATGGACCGAATACACGGGGGCGTTGTCGTTGTGCCACGCGATAAGCAACGGGGTAGCCTTCATGGTGAGCTCGGAGGCCCCCGACCGACGACGGGTGGGAAGGAGAACAGAGATTGACTTGGTCCAGGCAGGTCTGGAGCGGAAGGAGGGAAATAAGCAACACTAGGGGGTGAGGATGAGTTATTATAGAGCCGTGGGGGAATCGCTGTGTTGAAGAGGAGTTGCAAGTCGTGGTTTGTTTTGTGTCGAAGCAAAGAATTATCGATGGGGGGAGAAGAGAAGAAGCAGAGAGAATCCACGGTGAGAAGAGAAGCAGACAAGGGGAAAAGCGGAAGATCGAAAGGGTTAGACGGGGAAAGAAGAAGAATAGAGTCAGGAAGAATGAAAGGAAAGCAAGCAAAGTGGTGATGTCGATATTAACTGATCGATTATTCGTTTCGCTTTTGCTCGTGTCGTTTTGGCGTCGAATTGGAACGCGCCCCGGAAAAACGCTATATGGAGATCGCTCCACCAACCGCTTTTTTTCGAGCGAGATGGAAGCAGAAAAGGACTTTTCGGCATTCTCTGCTACGTGTTTCTCTCTCAGTCCTCGATTCATTCCGCGGTTCTGTTCCTGCATCAGGTCTGCATCTAGAAGGATTTACTCAACCACTGCTTACGTATGGTGGGAGAATATGGCTTCATATATCAACGATGCTATATCCTGAACTTTCTTGAAAGACAAACCCATATGCAACCTTTTAAGAGGAAGAAAAAGTAATAGATTTGATGCATCTCATTCGGATCCGCCAATTCTAATAAACATTACATACAAAAAGAAAGCTTCACGTCGTCTCCTCCACGGGATGTTTATCTAAACTCTCATACCACTGAATAGTAGATCCCACAAGGAAAGCCCACGAACCCCAGAACGTGGCCAACGTACCCTGATACAGCACGCCCGAGTTGGCCGTCGCTGGGCCTAGTGCACCGCACAGGGTGAACCCAATGCCACCAAGGAAATTCCAGAACCCAATATGCCAGCCCAGGATATGAAAGGCAGGGAGGTACCATTTCCGCTGGGTCTCCAGCGTAAATAACAGCCCGCTGAGAACGAAGCACATCCCGCCAACGATCTGGGGAACCCAGTAGACCCCATTCGTCACCGCCTGGTCCATATGGTTAATGATACCAGGGAGGCCCGTGAACCCGGCGATCCAGAAGATCGTGGCGCCGATGAGCTGCACCAGGGACGCATAAAACCCAAGTTCATGGAAATAATGCCGTCGGAGCTCCGTCCGCGTTGGAACCCACTTGAACGAGCGGTTCTGAGCTGGCGCCATGGACGGTGTCGCACTGGGGGAGGGCTGTACCTCTGACACAGAAACCGGCGAGACCGACTTCCCCTGGTGGCCCAGAAAGGATCGATGGTTGGCATGCGGGTGGATACAAGCCTCCATGTCCGATTTGATGCGGACGATCACTTGCTCGGTATAGGTGTGTGCTTGCTTGGACGCCGTCTCGACCGCCCAGCCGAAACAGCCCGTTTGGTTCTCGTTGACGGCTTCGAGGATGAGAAGGACACTCCCGACCTCGAAAATGGTCGCTCCGATGAAGGCCGTGACGCCGCCGCCGACGAGGCCCTCGTTGTGGAATTCCGTCCCCGGCGCGACCAGGGGCAGCCAAACGAAAAACGCGTTGATGACCCAGATCACCGATCCAAAAGTGAAGATCGTCGCCACCAGGTAGGATACATCCCAGTAGGGGAAGCTCGTGAACATGCGTCGGATTCCTTGGGCTATCGCGGCTGGATGGACGGTGGGCGCGGGGAGCTTTTGGCCTTCGGGACCCGGCGGTCGCTGGTGAATCATCAAAGCATGTCGTCCCTTTCGATTATCCCGGGAGCGCCAGAGCCGCTCGATCCGGCCGGGGACGTGATCCCGTTCAGGTGCGGCAATTCGTGGTGTAAAGTTGAAATGGGCCCGCGTTGGATTGCAGAACGGCACAGGGCCTGACACCCTGGACGGCTGGAGCTGCAACTGTGGCTCGTCTTGCAGCGGCTGCCGCCCAAAGTGAAAAGAGCGCGACCGGGGCATTGCAACAGGACTAGATCAGTTATTTGAGTTGCATCTTTTCAAGGACTGGGCAATGATCCATGCTCTCTCCAACGTATCGACTTGCTGGGGGAACAAGTCTTCTTCTCCGTCCTGGTGCGCGTGGGCTGACGTGGAGCGATCTAGTCTTTCCCCGGAAGAATAATAAACCACTCTCCCCAGCTTCTGTCAGAGGCAGAGGTCAAAATGACCAGTTAATTGTAAATGTACTAACTATACTCCGTATCCATCCCTCAAACTGAATAAAGTCTGAGATACCAGCCCACTCGATCGAGGAACGCTCGGTTTCGTGTGCAGATCCCGAGCAACACTCGGTTCTTCGCGTCCAGTAAAAGTAGCTCTTTCCCCCTTTCTTCAGTCTAGGTCTCCCGGACCCTGTCTCACCGATCGCGGTCTGGCCCAGTAGGAAGATGAAGCGGAAAGCGAAAGGCAGGCCAGGGTTGCGTTCTCTCCCTCTGGAGTCTTGGACAGATGGGAAATCCCTTGAAATCCGGCATAGTGTAGTGGATCAATCAGACTGCTCTAGCCAGATCTTCTGTGCTGCCAAGACGGACGCTTGCGCGTCTCCGCCACCTCGAGTTCTTTTTTTCTCGTGTTTATTATTCTGTATCTATCTAGATAGAAGAAGAGTCAGAGTGATGCACAGGTGCCGCGTGTCCGGATTAAGTCTTACGGAAGGATTTCTGATCATTCAGGACCGAGACCCTGAAGACGAGCGTGTCCTAGAGGATCACCACCAGTCAACCACATTGCTTGCTGTCGTCGTGGATAGTCTTGGAACAGCTCTCCTCTGGTGACAATAAGGACAATTGCTCCAGAGGATCAGCCGTGATTCGTCATCCCCGGCGTATGAGAAAACATTGATTGAAAAGACTGGGGCTGGAAAAAAAAAACCCACCAGGCCTCCTTCCGAACCCAAGATTTATTTCCCTTCGCGGCAATTTTGTGGAATCCTGTCGCATGTCTTCCGCCTCTTTATACTGGATTTTGCTTTAGTTAAGGGTACGGAAGACACCCCAAGTGTGCACATACTGCAGAGTGAAATTGCGTAACATCAGATTCAGTGATGGATGGAGACCTTTTTAGTCGATTGCTCAGAGAGCCGCGTAAGACTGGCTTACGCCAACCAGGCAGAAAGTCGAATATCAGTACTGACCAAGCTTTCGTAGTCGATTCCGTAGCCACGTCGTCCTGGTCAAGTGGAGAGAAATGAGTCGCGCAGGGTTAACTCGCATTCTCACCTCTAGTCGGGACATAGGGTAGTCGTACTTGAAGAGCTTGGACAACCCCCCTCCCCTCCCAACGGTATAGAGTATAGCATCCAGAAGATATTTGACGAGTGCGTACAGTAAAAAAGGCCTTGGCCACGGTACTGTTGACCATTTCGGGGCGGGACACACGCGGCTTGTGAGGTGTGATTGGGGGAGGAAATTCAAGGCTGACGACGCTTCTTCTTTTTCCACGCCAGCTGGGAGGAAAGAATAGTTGTTAATTAATTAGTTAAGTCATAGTTAAACTAGTTAACTAATTCAATCTTTTCCGACTCTCTTTTCCTCGTTTCCTCTGCTTTCTCTTCCTTCTCTCTCTCTTCCCCCCTCTTTGCGCCCCAGTGTACCCAGGCAGTCCCTCCTCCTTCTTCCACAACATCTCTCTCCTCAACCAGTTTCTCATTCAATTCTTCCGCATATTTTGACTTCCACTCTTTTTCTTTCCAGGAGTTCCAACGCGACCCGTAATCGACGGTGTGGTACAAGCGAGGTGACCGCCTTGGCTGGCCTTATCCGATCCCAAACTCCGGCCACGAACTTCCTCAACTCCAACTACACTACACTACCACTACACTCATTCGTCTTTCACCACTCGCTTTCCCGGCGCTTAGCAAGAGATACGAGGAGGTTCGTCAAAACCAAAAGAAAGGAAAAGAAAAGAAAATACAATCCTATTATCCCCTCAATCTGGAGATTCCACGCCAAATAGCCATCGGTTGGTCTCTGTGACCCCCTACGACCATGGCGGATGGGAGACAGCACCACGGCCGACGGGCGCCAACGTCGGAGGCCTTCGATGCTTCGGAACTCACTCACGCTTTCGAACAGTTGATGCGCACCAAGAGATTTGATCGTCTTCAGGAACAGTCCCATTCTCATTCTCGGTCACAATCTCCGTCTACGCCGCCCCTGCGGTCGCACCCACCACACCCCTCGCGAGCACCACCACCACCACCGCCCACTGCAACCACACTTCCTCAATTACCCCCCCAACGACAACCGCACTCCCCATCGCCCGCCCTCAGAGGCCTCCCTATAGTTCCGGCCCCGCCACAGGATCCAAATTCTCTCAAATTCCGTAATCTCCTCCATGTTCTCTCCGTGACGCCCACCAAGTATGAGAATCCCGGCCTCTTGGACGACGCCCTTTCCGTGATTCCACTCGATAGACTGTACTCGGAGGCTGAGGAGGAAAGCCAGATCATGCAGGCCGAAGCCGAAAGCATGAAGAAACGGCCCGAATGGGGCTATCAAGATTGTGTCATCCGGGCTTTGCTACGGTGAGTGGATGCCTTCCCTGTCACAGCAATTGCAGCCCCAGCTGACCATACGTGATCCATATAGGTGGTTTAAACGGTCTTTCTTCCAATTCGTCAACAACCCTCCCTGCTCCCGATGCTCCATGCCCACAATCGCCATGAACATGACACCACCTACCCCCGATGAGACTGCGCGCGGCGCTACTCGGGTCGAACTCTACAGGTGCTCGGAACCATCGTGCGGCGCCTACGAGAGGTTTCCTCGGTATTCGGATGTCTGGCAGTTGCTGCAGACTCGACGCGGTCGCGTTGGCGAATGGGCCAACTGCTTCAGTATGTTTTGCAGAGCCCTCGGTGCGCGTGTGCGCTGGGTGTGGAACTCGGAGGACCATGTGTGGACAGAAGTATATTCCGAACACCAAAAGCGCTGGGTACATGTGGATGCCTGCGAGGAGGCATGGGATCAACCTCGTCTCTACACTGAAGGTTCGTATTCTCTTCCCAAACCCAAGAACACTAAACTAACTAACCCCAACGCAGGATGGGGCCGAAAACTTTCATATTGCATTGCCTTTTCGATCGATGGTGCTACCGATGTTACACGACGATACGTCCGCAGTCCCGCCAAACATGGACTCCCACGAACGCGCGCTTCGGAGGAGGTGCTGGTTTGGGTCATCCAGGAGATTCGAAAGAAGCGGCGCGAGAACGTAGCCAAACTGGATGGGAAGCGTCTGCTGAAGGAAGATGAACGGGAAGAAAAGGAATTGCGCATGTTCACGGCCAGCGCCCTCGCCGCCGAGCTAAATAACCTCCTTCCGCGAAACCATACGTCTGGCCGACCGGACGAACAGAAGACGGCTGCGTCACGACAAGAAGCCCCGGTGGACTGGGTGAATAGCCGGCAAAGAAGCTCCGGCCATTCTGGCTCGGATGGGTCTCGAGGCGATCGATAACGGTACTCCGGCAAACTCGATGTTTATCACCTTTCGTTGAGCGGGGAGGCCAACGAGCTGGTGATCTTCCACCACCACCATTAGATTAGGTCTACCACACTTCTCCGGTACAACCTACGACCAATACGAGAATATAAACTGGCTGGACCATTGTGGGATGTATGATACAATACCCGATGAGCACGATGTACGAAGCAACCCCACCGCGTCCCGGCTTTATAGGATCCACACCGCATGTCACTCACATTCCTGCAACCGGCAGGTATCAATTAGGAGGATTGATTCCGAATGAATTGGACCAAGAAATTGCTGATGACATGCCAGCTATTTCCCCCACTCGAAAGTTCGGATCGCTTCCTGTTGACCTCAATACTGGGGTTGAGTTGTTTTGAAGACGAGCGATGACAATCGCACTTGACGATCTCTATTTTTTTTTTCCATTTCTTTTCTTTTCTTTTCTTCTTGACGTGAGCAGGATATTGATACTCCGCTTGCATTTTACGCTTCCCAACATATGATTTTTTGCAAACATGGCAATATACTCGGTCATCTTCTCATGGTTAGGAAACGGGCATAGGATGGGAGGCGCTTGTGGTAGGACTTTTCACTGATATTTTCTTCCTTATAATTCTTTCTACGACCTTTACTTTCTCATCCTTTGATTCTTTTTCTTTTTCTTTTTCTTTTTTCAGCCTGAAGATATCCTTACGGAATGGGGGTTCTATGTAAAGACTTGATTGTCCAATAGTCAGTTCCTGCATGATAACTGTATAATTTACTCTATTTCCTCACCACCGGGCAAAATCCACGGCAGCAGCTAGTTACTATCTAGTCGTCGTAAGAGTAACATCAAAACTAAGTCCAGAATACGAGACGCAACCCACCAGTGACGCCGAGATTTAGTTTAATTGCGATATGCAGTTGAACTCGAGATGTCTCGGATGCCTATCAGGTACGCTTCTCTAGTAACTGGTTTTTATCTTGGAGTAATAAATCAGGTGCCTTGGAAGTTTCCTACTAGTATATAACATCCAGTTACAGTAGTTAGTACGGAGTACATATATGTTGTATGATTTTTCATTCAGATGTACAGTGTATAACTATTGGATGTACAAAGTACAGAGTCACGAATGATCTCTTGAAGTTGGCGGTTCTGGTTCTATTATACTGGATTTTTTTTTTTTTATATATACTGTTGAGTTTATACATAGATAGACGTTAACTTAATCTATCTCGGATTTGGTCCTGCTGAGACTGCATTGCGGAGATTCTTATCAATCTAGCAGGTTAGGATGGTAAATTGATACGGAAAGAATCCTAATGTAATCAAAAACATTCCCTTGCATATATATATACATACTCACGATAACTAACTCCTTGCAAGTCCCCCCCCCACTAAACCGCTCGAATCGAACATTCAATGCCCCTCTTCCGCAGATCCCCGTCGATGTTTCGAATCTCCTTGACATAGTAAGGCTGCTTGGGGAGATTCAACTGCCATCTCTGTCGGAGATGGAGGTCGCGCAGCGGTTCGAGAAACACGGGGATCTTCTCCACCGGCTCACAGAACCAGCTTCCGCTCAGGTGCAGCGTAAACGACTGTAGCCCCTTCATGCGAGTCACGGCGCCGCAGGTCTCGATCCACTGTTGCCTCCCCGCGGAGAAATACACCGTCTTAACAGGGTCCTTACTCGGTAGCCAGTGGCCCGGGAACGCCCAGCTCAGTTCAACTTCTCGAATGGCGTCCCAGAGATCCGTGGGCACGGTGGGACGGAAGTAGGTGAGGGACCAGGTGTTGCTAAACTCGAAGATATTCAGGGTATACAGTAAATGAATGGATTCTGAATATCTGTTGCAGAAAAAATAATAATGTTTTTAGTTTTTCCAAAGAAGTAGTGGGTTGTTTGGGGGGGGGGGGGGGGGGGGGGGGGGGGGTTGAACTCACATCTGTTTACATGCCATGGACAGCGCCAAAAGATCGCCGGATATATGCGAATCCCCCTCTCGGCCTGACGGGGGTAGACCGCCGCGACAGATCTCGCAGGGCTCGGTGAGCGGCGGCGGGCAAACCACATGGCCCATGCGTCTGTCCGTCCGCTGGACAATGTGGATGCGCATGCCCCCGAGGACCAGCTCCCATATCATCACCCGCAGCTCGGGAGAGAGCTTCGCGAGCAGCGTGCTGCGCGGCTGGTCATCCCAGTTGAGCAGTCGGGGATCGGGTTGTTTCTGTGTTGTCTGGCTTCGAGCGGCGGAGTTGGCGCTTTGTCTCCGGGAGCGGGGCAAGGCTGCGGGCTTGTTATCTTCTCCAGATTAGAAATGGAATTTCCCTTGCTTTGAGATGCCAGAGCCATATCTAGGAGTCTATCGCATCGTATCGTATCCCCTCAGATACGAGGGAGTGGGAGGGACTGACTTTGGTACCGGTGGGCCAAAACGTCCTCCCAGGAAAACACGCCCTGTTTGATCCTCGCCATCGCAAGCAGCAGGTATGGGGATATTCGGGATGCTTTTTGAGCTAATAGATTCGAGACTGAAAAGATTCCGATGTTCGCAACCGCGGAGTAGCAAGCCAATCGAACGGTAGACCCTCCCTAGCAAATCATATTGTCGAAACGGGAATGGAACCAACCTAGAATACCAGGTCAGAATGCAAGGGTTGTTTGTTGGGAATACGATCGTAAGCGCGTGGGAATAACACCTTTTATTCTGCATAGCACATGGTTCCGGGGGGGGGGGACAAATGTTCCAGGTAGGACTTCAGGATGGTGAGATGGTGGAAGATGAACAGGAGGAGAAGAAGAAGAAGAAGAAGAAGATAAAGATAACGGAAAACAGCTCATCCTGAAGAACAGAAGAGTCGGTGAGAGTATACCAAAAGGGGCCGATGACTGGTAATTCCGACTTGTTCTTTCGCAGCGCCACTTCCGCAACCTAGTTGGGAACCGGTTTAGTCCGTAATATTTGTATTTTACTCCTGTACTACTATCTCCATATTCTATAGATCTTGACTCTGACGGTTCTTTTAAAGAAGAGGGGAAAGGCATATCACAATCTCATACATTGCTGTACTTTTTTATATAGGGTTTGTTATCTGATCAGACCCCCTGTTTCGGAGATATATTGATCCGGAGGGTCCAAATATAGCCTCCTTTATCTGATTCTGATCCAAAAATAACCTCCACTTCCTTTCCCTGTAGATCCAACCGAGCACTGATCAATCTCGGGCATCCCGGGGAAACGGACTCGGTTCTGGTATCTTAGGTATGTATACTCCGTAACAAAAACCGATATCTAGTGACTTGTTTCCTTGCAGACGCTAGTGCATGCCCAGTCTCTCATTGTGCAACAACATTCATTATCTCTTTATCTGATGGGTTGTACTCCGTACTCCGTTAGGTGGTATTGTCTGTAGAGTGACAATAGCCGAAGTCGGAGACATGGGCCATCCCGGTATCCCCCGATAGGAACCGATATCGATGCTCTGTGAGGATGACTTTGTTTTTTTTTTTTTTGAAGATGGGGATGGATAATATCAGCAGTAAAGAGGAGGTAAGCAAATGAGATTCGTGGTGGCTGCCACTAGAGATGTCAACATCGACGGCTATACTTACAAAGTGTGGGGAGTACCTAGTGTACTATGTGTGATTCAAACCCCCTCAGGAAGTGAAACAGAAGAGACGAAAACAAAGACAATCCCTCCGGTATACGGAGTAAATGGATTCAATCCTAGGCAAATATCCAGCAGCCTCCTAAACATACCCAAGGCGTTTCTTTCCGGTCCTCTTGGTAGGATGTGTGATACGCGGGGTAATTTATATACTCCCAAGGTATTTATTTAGTTGGGTACGGGGCATTCAATCCTTTGATCCACCACTGCAAAACCAGCCGGTTAGAGTCTATTAATCAAGATACATACCTACAAATCGGGAAACAACGGGACCCCCAAACCTTGGACAGTTCTATTTGGTTTGATACTCATTCTCTTGTTTCGATTTAAGAAGAGAAGAACAGGACAGAGTCCATAAATTATACCATTTTCGCTAAAACGCCCGCAAATCCCCGCTTCCAATAGGAAACCAGAATGAGGGAAAGTAATTTCGTCACATTATCTCAATCTGGCCTCAAAACTGAAAATATCCATCTGGTGGGGATTATTCTCGGAGAAAGGCGTGCGACTACACTACAGCAGCGCAAATGCAGAAACATAGCTCACCGAGCTATCGTGTACATCGGTAATATCCGAGCTCCGCTCATACCTAATGAAGTGGAATTTGCCGTTCTGTCCACCGTCCGGTTTTGTAGCCTGCTCGATAGCAGACATGATTACACCAATGGGGTGGCGGCCACAAACGGTGTTGCCCGTTGTCTCGAGGATATCGGCAAAGCTTGCTGCCCTCCCCGTGGTGATTGCCGCCATGGTTGCAATGTCAAAAGTCGAGATACTCTCGTGGATCTCCGGCTGTCCACGACCGATACGATCACGCCGCTGCAAAGACTGGCCCGCAGCTGCCACTTCCATCTTGGCCTCTATGTCACTAGGTTCGTCCCCAGGCTGAGGCAAGGCGGTAGAAGATAACGGCAACCTGGGACCAGGGTGAGGGGCCTGGGGAACATAATATGTGTAACGAAAGCGCAGGCCCCAGTGACAGAAGTCGGAGCTAATGACAAATGCATTTGTTGGGTCTTCTAAATATGGAGCCAGGAGGGTTCCAAATGCTCTCTCCGTCATTGTAGAGGTGCTGCCTACCATAATAGGTACCAGCGGGGGATACTGGGCGGTCGGTTTATCGGGGTGCTGAAGCTGTAAACGACGGTGAATATAGGGAAGATGGAGCTCAATACTATGCTCGTCTTCATCGGTGGATCGGGTCATAGTCTCGAAACCGAGGGATGACCCATCGGGCGCGGTTGCGGTGCTGGTCAGGAGCTTGGAGATAAGCTCCGTATCGAGCGGAAGAGGGTCATCAGACAGCGGGGTATAGTAGCCAGTCAGTGCTGGTAAAGCAAGAGTTGTGAAATAGCGATGATGCGACGGTCCGATGACGAAAATACGGTTTCTATTCCCAGACAAATATATTGAGATTCGATTACTCTCAGACGCAAGGTGGATGAGAACTCACGCTTTGGACAAATCCAAAGCTTTGTACGCATAGGCAGCACAAGCCCCCGAGTAGCTGTAGCCCGCATGTCTTGGAGAGTCAGCATAGAAGTTGGCAGGATCGAGACCGCTACACATACGGAGCAATAATAACTCGTGCACCAGGAACAGGTAGGGAGCCCAAACCCTCGATCGTATCGGGGACCTGAGCTAGCCATTGATCTAGCTCGCGGGTGAGGGTGCGTCGGTCATCGGAATACCACGAACCAGAATGAGAGGCTACTCTGGAACTCATGTTCGTAAGACTTGTTAGTTTATAGAGATGTTTAGATAGTAATGTAATGAGCAGCTCCTTGTTTTCAGAGGCTGGATAGGAACAGGTGGGATGGTCGAACAATGAGGGGACAGAAGTGGGGGAAGGAAAGCGGAACAGCGTCATCGTCTCATCTTGTGCTGAAGAGACAGCGGTATCTCCGGTATATCTTCTAGAATGACTTCTAGGGTCATTTTCCTTTGGTCTTTAACCCTATCGCATCTGAGAAAGGGTTGAACTTCACATCCCACAACCTTTGTATTTTACATATATACTTCGAGTGTATACTCTCGGTATAGAATAGAGCTCCTCTCCGCACCACCTTTCCAATATCTCTCGCACATAACCATAAGCGGCCAAAATAACTGATCTAGGAATCTACTGATCTACCAAATCCAATCTTATATTAATTCTATGCGCTCAGTATACAAAACTACCTGGCTCTGCCACAGATTATGGCGTTGGCCTCCACCAATTTACCCCAATGCGGAATAGCGCATACTTGCACCACGCGTATCTCAACGCGCTGTGTCGATGCATTCTTCAACCAGCCTCCTGTGCCTTCCAAGGTTCGTTACTGGCATCCCATCTCTATTTTTCTAGTCAAAGATTCCCTTTTGAGTAAATCCTCATATCACTATTCGCCGTCCCTGCAGCTTCAATTCTTTCTATCGCAACGTCGCGTGCTCTAAATCTCTCTTTCCGCAAATCCTGAGTCCACTAGTCTCCAGTTACTCGGCTCAATTAATCATGTCACTCAAACGCAAGGCTTCAGCTCCCTCTCTGGCATCTCCAGAGCGATCCCAGGGCTTCACGCCCCAGCCAATGATGATAGACGACAGCCCAACGCATCTCCATTGTCGGACACGCAAGCGAGTGAGAAACGATCGTCCAGATGACCAGATGGTATATGGTGAGAATATACCGAGGAATGTTCGTGCTATGGTGCACAATGGCTTACATCTCCACTAGAAAATACTCTTCGCTGGCTGTTTACAGCCCAGCAACGACAGCGGCATGCACCCACTCCTCCCGCAGACCAGGACGAGGACATGGAAGCCGAACCTGCGCAGGAGGCTGTCGACCCGCGTCAACAAACATTGCTTCAATTCTTCCGTCCTATCCAGCCCTCGTCCCGCGCCTGTCCTCCGAACAATACCTCACAAATCCCTGTCGGTTTTCTACCACAACGAAACATCGGGTCGAATTCCCCCAGCACCCCCAGCGATGGTAGCACAATCGGGCTAGCTCTTCAGAAAGCCGACGGTGATATGGACATGGACATGGATTCTGGAAGTGACGAATCGGTCCAGGAATCTAAACAGTGGACAGGGGGCCTTGGGTGGATGTAATCTCGATTAAGCCTTAGTATACCCTGGCGCCCCGGTCACGGCTCCTAATCATTCCTTTTTCCATGCATTCGGCTGGTTTCTGCTACCCATGATCGCTGGCGATCGTTCGCGCTACCGCTGTACACGGTGTTGCTGATCCCTCACCCCTTGTTTCCAGTCGTTTCTTTTTCGAGTTCAAAGCAACCTTGTGTCTGAATGCGCGCATTATCACTTTTTATAATATTGGGACCTCAGCAGCCCCCATGCCTAGTTGCCCTTGAAGGGGTATTGGCCCTCCACGATTCTTGATATGCCCATGTATAGTTAGCGTTCTATACCCAATAGTAACCCGAATATCATAATGATTTCCATGTTTATATACCAAGACTGTAAGACGGGACGGGATGACGCTTGCAAGGCCTAAATTATCGGGCCACCACTGGAATGGAATATGATTAACAGTAGATAAATACAATCCCGGCCGGGAGGTAAGAATCCAGTTCGGCGCGAAATGTTAAGAAGCGACAATATCCATCTGTCTCTCAACCACGATCGGTAGTGGCGCCATTTGCGGGGGCGGCTTTTAGATCAGCGGCAGCCTGAAGCCTCAGGCGTCCAGCGACATTTGTAGCACTGCTCGAGCGCCAGGATCATTCAGGTTTGCTTGAACCACTACCCCAACAGCCAACGGCATTCGCGCCAGCAGCTTCAGAAAAGAAGGGGGGGGAAAGGCTACATACCTGATTTAGAATTCCCTTTTTTTTTTTTCTTTGTCATTGTCCAGCAACAGCTCTCAGCCGCCCGCAACTGTCCTCTTGAACCCACTGATTCTCGACGTCAATCTCACCCCCCCCCCCCCAGAGAGCCTGCGAGTGACATCGCATATTTGATATATTCACCGATTGGGAGATATACATACGATGGATGAAAACCAAGCCGTTCAATACTTGGAGTCGTTGATCGGTCAAACGCTCCGGGTCCATGCAACAGACACTCGCATTTTCGTAGGCAGCTTCAAGTGCACAGATGCGGTAAGTCGACTCCATCTCAAAGCTACTGTGTCATTCACTTGCATGGAGATGAAAAAGCAAGCTGCACGAGGCTCGACATCTACAGTTGCTGATTCGTCTGTCATCTTTAGGCTCGAAATGTCATTCTCGCCAACACCTACGAGTATCGCTATCCCACCCCTTCTGCAATCCGAGACGCAGCCCAGAATGCAGCACCTAGGAGCTCTGTGGATTCGCCAAACCTGAGAGTCGATATGACGAGTCGATTCATCGGTCTTGTGGTGGTACCCGGTCAACACATCACGAGAATCGAGCTGGAGGAACCCCCGCAACAGAGTCGCGTGCGAGAGACAATTCGGGCTTCATGAGTGTGGCGGTGGTTTTTTTTTTTTTTTTTTTTCTCTTTCCCCCAAAAAAGGTTTTTACGTCTTACTTGCGTGGTGAACTCTAATGATAACTCGACTCTACACTTCCTATCTTATTTGCTTTTTTCGGTCCTAACTTTGTTTTCTTATTGTTGTTGTCGTCTCTTGGATATCATATGCAAGGCTCACGTGGGGGATTGTGGCGAGGGTTCGTGGTTGATGGATATGAGAACTTCTCGGAGGTATGCACTGATTGTGCAAGAGCGGTATCTCGGAACGATCTCTGCAGGTGGTTCGCTGCAAAGTAATGTGAAGCTTGCCTAGGCAGGTCCTTTTCGCCCTGAGTAATGAGTCTTGGGCCTGCTATTCCTGGGAGATGCCAAGATCCTGACGCAAGAAGTAACACCAAATGCTCCCTTAGGGGAACGTGGTAGGGGACGAGAAGGATGAATCAGACAAGAGTGCTTCCTCTTGGCACAGCAGATGATTCTTGGCCGCATCAGCCATAAGTTGGATTATACTGACTTGACTTTGGAGTTGGATCAGCGGCGTTCCTGCAGTTTGATGCGGTCAGGGTCACCCAGCCCGAATGAGAGGAATGTCCCCACGGTGGACCAATCGACCTCTCCGGCAGTTTACTATCATTTCCTACTCGGGTGGTCGTTACGGAGAACGAACTGACGCATGAAACAAGCCAATAAAGGATAGCTGAAAGAAAAAAAGCAAATATCCATGGGTAATTTCCATCTCGGTTCTGTGGGAGCTCAGCCACTATACGCGCGGGATTTGAGCTTAGCAGTATGCGCCGTCGGGTATCTTCGGAGTACGGCAGAGGCTGGACCATGATGATATTTTGATTATGACTGCTGATTTGTGATGAAACTTTGGCATTTTCCCACAGAGCTCTACAAATTTAGATGTGTGGATTGACAAGAGGGAAGAAGAGCCTATGAGACGACAGGCAGAACCGAGGCCAAGCCTCTCCTTAGGCCGATGAGGAGGGGGAAAGTAAGATATGAGTGTCTGTGCTGAGCCGGTACTGGACCCAATTCGACCCAACAGCCAACCATTGTGAGGGAAGTTTCACTCGGATGCTTTAATAAGAAGCAAGCTCAGGCAGGTTGAAGCATCGTTAGTAGTTGACATGTGGAGGTAGGAAGAAGTATAAAATGAAAGCAAGCATGCCTTTTCTATACCTACCGTAGCTCTAGGTATACGTCTTGAATTTGATTCCTCTCTGTCTCTGTCTTGGTCTAAATTAAGAAATATCCATTCTTCTTCTTCTTGATCTCCACTTAAAACGACCACTCCAGGCATCATCCATTTTTTCATGCCTGTTTTCGGCCCGACGGATGATCCGGATATGCTGCCTCCATCCGTGGCTTTGCAGGAATCGAGACCAGTAACGATAATTCGACAACCACTTTTTTGAGTCTTGACTCTGGACTCTGGAACGCTTTCTTTGAGGCGGGGGAGAATTTTAGGCCCTGGAGGCGATTCTCTCATTCGACTACCACTACTACTGCTGCTGCTGCTGCTGCTGCTGCTGCTGCTACGACTACCACTACCACTACCACTACCACTACCACTACTACTACCACTACTTCTTCTTCTCTGCTAGAGCTCTTCCTCCTCCTTCTCTTCCTCTGTCTCATTTCTGTCTCTGATCATCCTCAACCGTAAGGTGAGTCAGTCTACCCTGCCCCACCTCTCTCTCTCCTTCTCTACCTGCTCTTGCCGGTTTCCTCCCCTAATAATGACGCATTCTTTCCATGGGCTGCTCTCTCCCCTCGCTTCCTCTTCTCCCTCGCCCCACGCTTGGAGCTAATTTCACCCAAATCCCTCATTCAGTCTCTCTTCTACCTCCATTCGTCCTCTCGTAGCTTCAGCGTTGTCTCCTCGTTTTTCTGCTCTCACTACACCTCTCCCGTTGGCAGTTGCTAACCCGTCCTATCCCAGGAGCCCATTTCTCGGCGAATCGGAACTTTCCCTTCCGACCACCTAGCTCTCTCTAGCGGCTCGTGGGCTGTGATGCCATCGTCCGTCTCCATTTATTCTCTTGTCCAACCTGCGACCTGATACTACTCCTTCGATCTCCCCTCCCCTTGACACACACGCACGCACGCACGCACGCTGTTGTCTCCCGTAACCTTCACACTGTATTCGCTTCCATTGTCCCTTGGAGAACCGGGTTTCCATCGTCCTTTTATATATCTCGGGCCTAGGTTGCAGCCAAGACGCCCCTAGCATTCCTAAATTTCAACAGGGTTTTGGTGTTGACTTATCCTGACCTTTTGTCCTGTCTCTCGTCCTCCGGTCGGATCTTGGCAGATATTTCTCCTTGCAGAAATGGGTCAATCTCATTCCAAGGGCAATTCTGGCCCTGGGGATTCTCTGCAGTCGTATCCGTCCTTCTCCCGCTCCGACACCAAGGAGTCCATTCGATCCTTTCGCGGTTCGATCCGATCGAAGATCCGCAGCAGTGACAGTCCCCGTGCGTCGACGTCAGCTCTGTCCCAGGCCGACGATAGGTCCGATGCAGGCTCTGTCAAGTCCGTTGGAAGTCGACGCGATTCCACCAATTTGAACCCCCCCGCTGCTGATGACTCTGCTCCCCCAACGGACGTCCCCGAACCCCCTCCTTCCCCCTCCTTGTCGAGTAGCTTGAAGCGAGGGCACCAAGATGTAAATGCTATGAAGCAGAGTGGCGAGGTCGACCTCGTGTCGGATGCTCCTCCGACCGGGGTGGCACCGCCAGCCGGCACACCACAGACAGCCGGGGAATCTATCCTGATTAAGCGAGAGGACCAAATGAACCCGATCTTGGATTTTATCATGAAGACTCCGCTAAACTCCGATACGTCAGGATCTCCAGGAATGGGCATGGGTGCACTCAAGACCATCGATCTGGATGATATGATTGGACGTCTCCTCGATGCTGGTTACTCGACCAAGGTGACCAAGGCTGTCTGCTTGAAAAACGCAGAGATCATGGCTATTTGTACCGCCGCTCGCGAATTATTTCTCAACCAACCCGCACTGCTGGAGCTGTCAGCCCCGGTGAAGATTGTCGGAGATGTTCATGGCCAGTATACGGACCTCATCAGATTGTTTGAGATGTGCGGCTTCCCCCCAGCCTCCAACTATCTTTTTTTAGGTGATTACGTGGACCGTGGAAAGCAGAGTTTGGAGACAATTCTCCTTCTTCTTTGCTATAAGCTGAAATTTCCGGAGAATTTCTTCCTCCTGCGTGGCAATCATGAGTGTGCCAACGTCACCCGTGTATACGGGTTCTATGATGAGTGTAAGCGTCGCTGCAACATTAAGATCTGGAAAACATTCGTGGACACCTTCAACTGCCTTCCTATTGCTGCCATAGTAGCGGGCAAAATCTTCTGTGTCCATGGTGGGCTTTCTCCAAGCCTTTCACATATGGATGATATTCGTGGAATCGCTCGCCCCACCGACGTCCCTGACTACGGACTGCTGAACGATCTGCTTTGGAGTGATCCCGCCGATATGGAGGAAGACTGGGAGCCCAACGAGCGGGGTGTCAGCTACTGCTTCAATAAGAAGGTCATCATGAACTTCCTCCAACGGCACGACTTTGACTTGGTTTGCCGTGCCCACATGGTCGTCGAGGACGGTTATGAGTTCTACCAGGATCGAATTCTAGTCACGGTGTTTTCTGCCCCTAACGTGAGTGTTTTTTCTTCTTGTGCCTATTATCTCTTGTTGGGAACCGCTTACGCTAACCACTGTTCATAGTATTGTGGCGAGTTTGATAACTGGGGTGCGATTATGTCGGTTTCTGGTGAACTGCTTTGTAGTTTTGAGTTGTTGAAACCTTTGGATTCTACAGCACTGAAGAACCACATTAAGAAGGGCCGGAAAGAGCGAAACAGCATGCTCAACAGTCCTGTAAGTCTTTCCACACTTGATCTCCTCCATTCGCCAAGGGGGAAACACCGCTTCTCGTGTAACAATGCCGAGAGCTTTGTGCTTATTCTCCCTTCAATTTCCCCGTCCAGCGTATTTACTTTTTTCTTTCCTCTTCAACTTTTCAACCGGCTAATCATCCGCAGCCCGCAATCGTCTCGGCGCAAAGTTATTAGATGTCGTATTGTTTACATGTGCCAAGAAATCGGCATCCGCGATATGTCACCATCACAGCAATCTGGACCCTCGGCATGCAGTTGTCGACCAACGTTCCATGTCATCATCCGTGCAGTTGAACTCAATTGATTGGACTAACCGGCCTGGATATCGGCATACTTTCCGCGCCACATCTCTCTGTCAGTTTGTGCATCCACGGATAGCAGTCCTTGGAATCCTCGATTGCAGCGCAACGAAGCGGATTCTCCAACCAGAAGCCATTTTGGCTCATACAATTCCCGGCTGTCAAGCATGGATTCGGAACATGGCAGATCCGCCGGGTCTCCCAATATCCGTGCCATGAGATAACCCGTCCGCGTCAACATAACAGCAAACTGCCTACCCCTATGGTATAGAGGCCTGGAACCCAGCGACCTTTCTTTTCTTAGACAGATATGCATTTAACGAGAGAACGATCGAAAAAAGAGCATATACCCCAAATTATGCAAGCAAGGGGGGTATTGAGCATGATGGTAGTTGTGATGTGATGTCTTTTCGTTCTTGTCTTCTTTTCATTTATCAATACCTGGGTGAACGAGACTGATGATGCTTAATGATATATGTCTTGATGTTTTGTTCTGGCTGGAGGTATGCACACATGGGGTCATTTCTGACCCTTCTTTTTCCACTCATCATGTTTCATGGATTAATGCGCGGGGTTCTGTTTCTTACTCCAATTAGATGTCTGACTTTGGGGATAACATACAGGGTGTTCTGATTGCATTGTCAACTATATCGCTTTCACTGATTCTTTGCATGTATCTAAATCAAGTAAATATACTTATATTCTCCAATAAATAACAATCAATGAGAGTTGCAGTTGAATAACCTTTTAACTTTTGATTTAAATCTTTTAAATAAAGTACCAATCCTGCTCGCCAATCAAGAAATCAACAAATCAACAAATAAATCACTACCTAAGGAAGGAAGTAAGTCTCTCTCTCTATACAAGCAAGAAACATAATAACCCTTTTAATAACAAAACACACACAAATCTCCAACTACCCAACCAACCAAGCAGACTCTCATCGGGTCTCTAGGTAGTTCCCCATACCAAGCTATACCATGTCCATCATTCCAACCACCCGTGAGAAGTAAGCAAGTCCTTAAAGAATGCCGAGTAGTTGCTCAATCGTACTCACGCACATAGCGATCCGGCAAATCCACATCCCACATCGGTCTCTCCACAACAGCGACTTCTAGCCCGTTGCGCGCGCCGTCTTCTTCGTCTTCTGCGTCGTCGTCGTCATCGTCGTCATCAGCAGCAGCAGCAGCAGCAGCCAGAATCTCAGCGTCGGAGCTCAGGGGCACGATTCCGAGGATCCCGCGGTATTTGTACGTGTACCACCATCGGCGCGCGGGTTGGGGTTTCTTCGCTGCTGCTGCTGCTGCAGCTGCGCTAGTACCGAGAGTTGTGCTGGTGGCGGTGGGGTTTACTGCAAGTTGTGTTTCGGATGTTCCGGTCGTCGGGGAGAGACGCTTGCTGGGTTTGGTGGCTGCAGCACTGTGGCCGCCGTTCTCGGGGGTAAGATGGGTTTGGTCTCGTCTGAGACGGGCAAGGCGCACGTCATGAGCGGCAGCGTAGGCCTCGTTGTCCTCGTTGTCCTCGTCGTCGTCGTCGTCGTCGTCGTCGTCATATCCGGTTTCATCGTCGTGGGTGATACGTAGCGGGCCGCCCTGGGGTTCTTTTTCCTTTTCTAGCGAAATCCATTCGCCCTGGGATGCGTCCGGACCGACAAACAGTCTCGCTTTCTGGTCAAAGAAGATATTCGACTGCGCGAGTGGGATTCTGTCTCCTGCGCCGCTGTTGCTGGTTGTCTTCTTGCGTTTGGCCCCCTCCTCTTCGTGGAGGACGAGGTCGCCATCGTCGTTGGTTTCGGTTTCGGCGCCGCGCTTCCTCTTTTGCTGTGGCTTTCTTGGTGTGTCTGTCGTCGTGGTCGTGGTCATGGTCGTTGGACCGTCCCAGTCCTCATGGCCCTCGGCGATCTCCTTGAGTTCCTCCGCGGACGGGAAATCCTGCTTAAGGTCGAACATCCAGAGCCACGACGTTCCGTAAAGCCAGAGTCGCTCTTTGGTTTCGTCTGTAAGATCCCAGAGACAGCCCATGGCGCGGTCCTTGACGCCCTTAAAGTCCGTGGGGAGGTAGGCCTTGGGGTTGCGTCGGGACCATTCGGAGAGTTTGCCCGAGAGAGCTTCGAACTCAACGAGTTGGTGCTCTGTTGTGAGGGCCATGAGGCGGTCTTCGTCTTCTTTCATTATTGTGACGTTGTCGTTGCCGTTTGTGAGGAGCTTGGATTTGGTGGGGGGGGGAGGCCGGAAGGAGAGTAGGGCAAGGCCGGACTTGAGACGTGGGATAGGCGATTCGCCCGCGACGGGGCGCCAGCGTTGGCCGTCAACGATGGGGGAGTCTTCGTCGTCATTGTCATTATCAGAGTCAGAGTCCTCATCCGAGGAGGCGCCGGCTTTGTGGGTGGACTTGGCGAGGGCTTTGCTGGAGGATGCTTTATCCACTTCTTCGAGGGACCAGGTGTCGATGCACCCGGATAGATCGCCTGTTGCGAGGATCTTGCTGCCATGCGAAAAAACGGCGCAGCGGATTGTGCGTTCGTAGTTGCCCAAGGTTCCGTGGGAAATGTTCTCAAAGCGAGTGTGGCGCGGGGCTCTACTGAGATTCGCCAGCTGAGGCAGAATCTGGGTCTTCTCTTGTGGAGATGAAGCAGGCTTGACCTTGGCTAAGGTGATGTCGCTATTTGGGCGGATGATGCAGAGCCATCGGCTATCTGGGGAGACGGCTACGATTCGGGCTCCATCATCGGAGATCTCGTCTGGGCAGTCTAGCTTTTGGATGCGGAGAGTGCCTCGCTCGTCGCCTTTGCGTCGTCTGACGGAGAAGACTTTGATGCTAGAGATTGTAGCGATGACGAGGATTTTTCCGTCATTAGAGAGTGATGCAGACGTAATGTTTTCCTCGCCCTATAGAGATATTCGTTAGGGTTGCCTTTTTTTTTTTTTTTTTTTTTTTTTTTTTAAGTCTAGAATTTCCAGCAGATTACGCTTACCTGAATCATTACTTTTCCTACCAAACGGTGCCTCTGTCCGTCGGGAGCCTCGTGTAAGGATGTAGGTCCACGAGACAGACGCCAGATGCTAACCTCCCGATCCCAGAAGCTCATGACCAGTCTAGAGGAAGGCGAGGAAACTACCGGGGGAAGCTGGGGTAAGCTTGGGAGGTTTCTGTGGTGCTCTTTTCCGAACTCTCGTAGGGGTAGGACGACAGGGCTGGCATCGGGGCCTATATTGCCATCAGTTAGTATCAAACCCACTCAAGACGCAGCACGGGATAGAACCACAAACCTCCAGAAACAATGATACTAAGATTCTTCGTCTCATAGACTGCGAAAGTCTTCACATCGTGGGTGTGGTACCGGCGATGCGTTACCTCCGCCCACCTGCTACTCTTATCCCCCTTCTCTCCGGCCTTCTTCCTGTACACCACGGTCCTCTGGTCTGCGCCGCCACTCACAACGGTCTCTCCATCCGCACTCACAGCAACATCCAGAGTATCCGCCAGATGGCCCTGGAGCCGCTGAATGAGCGAGTAGTTCTTCGCATCCCAAAATCTCACCTCACCCGCCGAGTCTCCGGACACAATAGTCCCATCAGGAAGACACTTGACCGACCAAACCAGCAACTCCTTGGAGCCCCCCGAAGGTCCCTTGCCCAAACTAATCGTTCTCAACAACTGTCCATTGCGAATATCAAACACGCGGATCGAGCTATCGGCATATCCGGCAACAAGTGTATTCCGATTCTGAAAGGTAACACTCAACACCCTAGGCTTTTTCGCGGACGGCCGCATCACTCGCAGAAACTTCAGATCATCGTCCGCAGTCGACAACAGCACAATCGATCCATCCGCACACCCAGCCGCCAGATGCTGGCCCGTGAACTCCCCCTCCACAGGCGGCAACGGCTTGTTATCCTTCGCCCGCGCAGCCTGCCACCTCGGCTGAGCCGCCAGGCACCACATCTCCCCGTAATTCCCGCTGGAGTGACGCTTTGGCCGGCCCTGCTCTAGATCCCACTCCGTCACTGCACTCGAGTATCCAATACTGAACAGGCGCAGTCGGCCCGGCAGCTTTTGGGCGCCGTCGGGGCCATCCTCGGGAGGATCAAGCGTCCAGACGAGACCCTCGATGCTGCGGTCCTTCCCGCCGCGAAGCACGGTCTCCTGGAACCATGCGCCGCGCATGGGGTTCCATATTTCGATGTCACCGTTTGCGCGACCAACGGCGAGGCGAAGCGTGGGGACACCTTTTCCACCGAGGCCGACGGAGGGAGGATGGGAGAATGAGAGCGCATTGATCGCTTGAGGGTTATAAGGGACGAATCTGCAGCGGTGGATATCCATTGTCGATAAGTATTATCAGCCTATACAAGGCTATGCTGGTATCTTCGATGAAAGGGGGTTGATTTCTAGACCAAAAAAAAAAAAGAATGCAAGGCGGAGTTTCAAAAGTAAAGGATAATGCGGAGAGATGGTATTGAAAAAAAAAAAAATATTTAAAAAAAACACGTACTCTGGCTCAAAGGGTAGAGCCCGCCGCTATACGATCATTCCGGTCACAATTAGAAAAAAAAAAAAGAAAGGTCTGTATCATCAAGTGTTGTTGAGGCCAAATGCTGGTCTTGAACTTTGTTCTACTTTTTTTTTTTTTTTTTTTTGATACAATTTTTAGCGCAGCGGAGTTCCCTGCCAGTCACGTGAGAGCATGCCCCCGGCACTGTGAAAAGAAATAGAACCTGAAAAGAACACCAGGACGTGGATAGAACTGCATTGATCGGTTTGATTATAATCTGAATGAGTCGAGTCATTGATGTTTTACTTTCTTTTGAGTGTGTCTATGGATCATCTTCAATACAATAATATGTCCAGAAGCACCAACACAATCCAATCCCCTTTCCGTTGCCCAGCGACTTGACCTTAACACGAGTGATTTTTTCAATGACTGATCGAGAAACCCATTCACTGGGTTTGGTGTACTATGTTTGCATCAAGCATTGGTCTCTCCTCCAGAGTTGCTTGTTCTCGCTCGTCTTCCCTCATGGATGAGTCTGGAGTATGAAGTGTCGCACGAGTCCAGGTCCAACAGTACGTACCAGGTACCTACAGAGTACAAACCTGGCGAACGAAGATTCCAAAATCCAGGCCAGGCCTTGAAGGGGGCTCTATGACTTGCATTAGAGCAGAGAATCTCGATTTGTCTTGTGGCTGTCTGTGGAACAAGATACGCCGCCGCCGAACACGGAGAACCAACCAAGGGACCAGCACAATGGACAATTCCAAATAATATAATAAGCCTCAGGCTTGACAGCAAACAAGAGCGGAGCAGGGATGGAGAGCGCACTGGACGAGGGGGGAAGCATCGTACCAGATAGTCAGGGATGAGTGGACGAGTCCATGAAGAAGCAACTACAACAGGGCTGTAATCCTATCTCGGACTTGTACACGTACGAAGAACACGCTCTATCTCTCTCTCTCTCTCACACTCATACACTCATACACAGGGACATCAAACGCCATCGAGGAGCCTAGTGGTGTGCAGGGCTGGCTCCACCTAGAACTGAAGAATGAATGGCCAGGATCCAACCAAAACAGGGGAATTCGACGTGGGGAATTTGCGCTACGAAACGCCCGTATCAAACAATAGGTTATGCCAGACACCTGCATATCTGCGGCATTCTCTCGAGACCAGAGAGGCTGCCACGTCAGTCCGATCTTCGGTGGGCTTCGTGGATTGCGCATCGCCATCACAAGCTAAGCATGTCAAATTTGAAACCCGAGAAACCTAATAGGGTGCGTGGATGATGAGAGGACAAAGGATGCCATCCATCCATCTTTTTTGGGGTGGGGGGCCGAAGCTCAAGGCGCGAGAGTCGTGGAGGCTGAAGGGGATAACAACCCGGGAGAAACCTGGAGTACTGCAAGGAGATTGGAAGGGTATTGATTGGTCACTCCGTGCCGCCTTGTTCGGTATTATTGTCGAAGAAAATCATAGATCTGACAAGCTCAGCTGAATCGACGATTTCCACCGGGCAATTCCGCATTCTGATTTGATGGTGGCCTGGTGCGGGGGTGTGTCTACCCTTGTAGTAGGAGATACGATCCATGCCGAGTCCTTTACAATGATTTATGAGGAAGAAATCATTGGGTTACGGGCCATTGAGCGTCCTGCAACTGATTTTCAATTCCTGCTTCTCTAAGATGATCGGAATGCTCTTCGTGTTGGGTATATTTAAACTTCCATAGCTGGAAGGCTTGTGGTTGGTAAAACCTTGTCCAACGGCACAACTACAAGAATGAGACCCGGAAGATTCAAGTCCATGAGGATGGGATTCTTGGGGTTTACTCCGTCATGGGGTGAGGAATGACGTGCATATACTCCAGATTTAGAATCCAGAATTGGGCCAGGATTCTTGATTCAAGATAGGAGCTAGAAGAGACAAAGACAGGTCTGGTGCGACAGATGGTTCAGGAGGTGGCTTATACAATAAACTTCCTCCTCAGTTCCAATTCCCCAATTTTCCAGTCCCGTGCCGTGTTGCTGGGGTCAGATATTCATCATTCAGTAATATCCCAAACGCAGTAGTAGAGAGTAACAAATGGATTTCCTCTCATTCAGAAAGAGAACCCAGAATAAGCGCGATTGGCTTTAACGCGATCCTCGAATCAACGCGCGTCCAGGGCTTTTTGCCCGGATTCACGCCAAGATGAAGTTAAATTAGGCAATCCTCCACATTCAATTCTGGTAATTCATTTGAAGATGGGATAAAGTAAACTATGAAACCCCAATTCTTGTAGTTATTACTGAGCTCAAATCCCAGAACGGGGCCCAGAATGTCCGAAACGTGGGATGCGAGTCAATCATTCCGCCCTGCCTAGAGACTTTTCATTTATCTACTTGTAGTCTTGTGGTTCACTGTTCGACTACAAATTCCGATCAATCGAGCCCATAGTTATACGATCTTTGAGGTCAACTCGAAACCACTCCAGGTACTTTAGTAGTATGTACTCCGTATGTACTGTACAACCTCATGGTGGAGCTCTTTTATTTACACTACAGTCGGCCCGTTTTATTTCCTATTTAGCCTAATCCAGTATAGTTGGTACATGTACTACAGTATTCTAGAGTACTATACAGAGTACGGAGTACGGAGTACCTCTACTGTACGTCCGTACAGAGTAGTATAGTATAGTATACGTACGGCGTACTCTATATTTCCCGCCACATCACAGATTTTGGCAGACTTGTATACGGAGTACTCGACCCCATTGACCCATCCCAACGCGCTGTCAAATGAAAAGAAAAACTTATCCATCTCCGCAGACCCAGACGACGTTAAAAAAAAAAATTTTCAAAGAGGGTCAGATTCAATCAACGCGCCCAAGACGAGTAGGCAACTTGAGTCTTGAAAGTCGACAAAAATGCGTTAAAAGTCTCTTCGCTGGTTGATCCTGTCAATCAATCGCTAGTCTTGCCTCACATTAGTAGGTAATGGTGATCTACGTATGAAGGACTATGGCATGGTGAATAACTTCAGCCTAAGAGGGCAAGGTATACGGAGTACCCTACCCTACTATGTAGACAGGTTTTGTGTTTGAGTTCCCAAGTAGCGTGACACCTACTCCGGACGCACTTACAGTATGCTTCGTCCACCACCTTAGAAAATTTCTGTTGACTTTAAGATGGTGGACCCTGTATAGTTAGTGAGTAACGGGAATAACATCGAGATTAATACGAATAGGGTTACCGGTACAAGTACAAGGACAGATAAGTACTTCAGTATTGGAAGAGCCACAGTACGAAGGTACATATAACAAGATGAATCCAATCGCCTTCGAACAGATACAAGGAACTTCCCAACAACTCCAATGAATATCTCCAACTGATCTCCAATCTAGAATATCTGGCTGCACGTAGATTTTGGATATATCGAAACTCATAATAAAGTTCTTCCAACCTTCTAGAAAACTTCCCTTTTTTTTTTTTTTTTTTTTTTTTTTTTTCTCTTGACTTTCTACCGGTCCACCCGATTCATTTGGCTATGTTACGTACTACGGAGCACATTGTACCTAGTAGGTAAGCAATAACCCTAGTCCGGTGACTCCGTACTTCCGGCTTCCACTCTTCGTTCATGGTACGATCTTGTATAAATTTGACGTTGAAAAGTTGGTATTTCCTCGCTTCGTCGGCCGTTATGGTGGCTCGTCTCGGAGTAGGTTTCGGATCCGCCCAGACCAAATTTCCATCTTCAGGAGAAATACATCCGTTCACGGTAATAATTACAGTATTTTCAGTTCTACGGACCAGTAAATAAGGAATATAACGAACTATCCCTCTTGACCAAAGCAAAGATAATACCGACTTTGTCGGCGGCTAAGCGGGGAACACTTCAGGTTTTTCAGGATCCGCTGTGGGCTGTGTGGGAGGCGAGGTAATTTCGGAGACCTGTACGGAGTATAGTTACTCTATGTTACAGTTTATAAAATTATCAATTTTGAAGAGAGAGCAAATACTACTTACCTAAGTGACTCGACCGTTTCATAGTTACATACTGTACTGATTAATCACTTCTTCTCTGTAAATAGCAAGTATTGAGTATGTCCAGCGAAACCAGCTTAATATTGACATTAACATTTGAACACTACATATCCATATCAAGGGACTTTACATCTACACACATATATATACATATTAAATTTCTAGACATATCAGTCCTTCCCCTTCTGTTCTAGTGCTCACCCTCGCTTTTGACTCACGGAGTAGACCTGAGCTGATCGCTGAGCTGGTCTGGTCACTGAGCACGGGCGGAGGAACGGGCGAGTACGGAGTAGTTAGCAAGCAACGACTTAATCATTAATCCCCCTGTATGAGATATTGACACCTCAACGCTTCTCTACATCAAAATACCCTCGAGATTGTCTCTGCAAGCATCGCGGCAAGGAACGGTAGGTAAGGCTTATATGCAATTGCGCTCTGACTCTTAAAGCCTCCTTTCCTTGCCTCTATCCTGTCTTGTCCGCTACTATGCTGGTTGATAACACTTGGCTCTTTAAGAGCATCGTCAGGGCAAACCCAGCGTATTCATAACCAATAAATTGCTCGTATCTTCAAAAGTATCCGAATCAACGACGATGTTGGCTGTTTAATAGATTCTGCTTGTTCAACTACATAAATATAAATAAAGAAAGCGCAGACATCCTGTGGTAGTTTAGTAAGCGCTCAGCGAGCACTCGGAAGGGTGGCCTTAATACTCACTGAGCGAGGCCGTACTAGATAGTTACTAAAGCGGCGGCGCCTAGAAGGGAAGCCTAGGTACAATTGTTCTAGAAACACTTACATATATATACATATATACCTTGCAGCTAGTAGACAGGGCTATGAGGCTACCTCTGCAATTCTGAAATAGGTTCCCAGAGTCACAAAGCAGCAATTGTATGTACAGAGAAGTAAGTAGGTAAGAGGTACACACGCATAGTGTAAGGATAGCTGCAATTTAAAATGGAATGCAGGAACATACTTCTTAGTAAGGGATGCACCTCTAAGCCCTGGCTAAATATCAAGTCCTAGTTAACTAACTAACTAATCTAAATAATATATTACTAAGTAGGAGTTATGTACTCTGGTGGATGAATGAATGAATAGTAATAGTAGTACTAAGTACGGAAGATGTATGTCCGATGCGCGTAGAGATAAAATTAGCACCTACTCTGTACATCATCCAATATAATAATACCTAATGCTATTTAATGATCCATACGGAGTAGGTAAGTAGTTACCACTTAAATTAAAATAAGCGAGCCAGACTCAGCAACCCCTGCAGCAAACGCAATCTTAGAAAAGACTTGCGAAGTTGCGATAGCCAACCCGGCTAGCCTTCGCTAGCATATTGTTCTTTTTTCTTTTTTCTTCCCCCCTGGCAGGCTGGCAGCTGGCTCAGACTATTATCATGTAGTACGTGTTCCACAAATACAGATCACTAACCCGCGATCGGCTAGGAAGATTGGAGGGTTGGGGACATCCTTGTTCAAGGTTCTTGGTGGTTAATACTAGTAATGGTTGCCCCTTTTCACCCCTATGTCCCCTTTACTATGCATACCTACTAGTAGGTACTACTGTAACGCATCCATCCGTGATACCAGTACTCTCTCTCATACTTACCTAGGCACTTGTCATCGCCTAGTGACGAATAACCTATCCCCCTTTTGGCACTTGAATGCGATTCGGAATAATTTGGCCATGCCAGAGTGTAGATTGTAGAGAATGACTGCGGGGAGAGGTACCCTGCGACGACCTACGCAGTACTCCGTAGAACGATATACAATGGTGGCGTCCGTATTCTCCCCTCTATCTCCTAGTCGTAGATAGCTAGGACTGCACATCCCAAAGCTTCCCCGGAACAAAGAAGGCTGAGGTCCCCGTAAGGCAACGATCAGCCCGCAGCCCAAGTAAGGATCAAGTTTCTCTGCCCACGATTATTTACATTTTACAGGCCGTGGACCTCAGGACAGGGATAGGATTCGGAATCTGGATTCAATGGCCAGGTGGTCTAGGTAAGAATTGAGCCTTGAATCGTGAAGGTTAACTCTTGACAGGTAGCGATCCCAGCCACACCAGCCACTTCCGATCCGGGGGCATTGAGATATCACTTCAGTCTCTGGTCGGGGGCAATCATTACATTACGGGTTCGGTTCGCCTCTTCCTGTTTGAGCTGTATGGATCGCGCAACTGTAGGATTCGAAGGCGCTGGAATACGGTCATTTTCTGAGCTCGTCGAAAGAGACCTGAGCCTAAAATTGTGGCTCACAAGCCCGGGTGGAAATGATTGGTCACCATACAAAGGACCCTAGGCTCTCTTTATTGCCGTATGCATGCCTCCAGGGGGAACATGTGGCTTGGGATACTCCGTATACACTTCGGAATTGGATGGAGGCAGGTGATCAAAGGATAGCTCATCCTCACGAACTAGCATGCAAGAGCAATGTCATATAATATGGGGTTGCAGATACCTTATCTGTTGGCTATGAATTTCAGCAAGGAATATATTTGGGGTGGTGGTTTGCTGGAAAGAATAAGATTCGGCAATAGGTTAGTTATCCTTCAAGACTGCAAGGTTCTAATCCATGATATGCCCAGGAATATCAAGTTTGGTTAATGTGAGCCCGCCAATTACTTTATGCCTGGTTTATATCTGACTCGATGCTTAAGCTTGCCATAATATGTAATTCAATAGTTGCCAATTCAAGCAGGGGTTCGGGACAAAGAAACCATCAGTAATGCCTCAAGCCGACGATGGAAGACTTCGGTACAAACTCAAAGATATCACGACTGGTAATGAATTGTCGGGAAAGGAATGCGCTATGTTATGATTATCTCAAACTGGGCCAGTCAGCAGTCTCTGATGATAGTAGACGAGCCTGGGACGCGACCGTCCTAATGTATAATAGTTATCTAGTAGTTAACTACCTAGTAGCTACTACTAGTACTGTTGGATACATACTCAAGTTACTATTGTTTAAATACACACATATACATACACTCAATACAGTACGACGATACATCTTCCGAGTAAATGCGAACCACTCGATGAATAATATTACAAGCAGTCAGCAGCTGAAAAATAGGTTCCAAGGACGCTACTTTGTTCTCCGCAATGTGGATAGAAACTAGTCGGTGGGCACCGAATAGTAGGAACTTGATTTTATGATATGCGGATTGTCCAGCATAAGGTGTGCCAAGGCTTACCTGATCGCAAATGAAGTCAGTTCTGTAGGAATTCTGTGAAATGTGCGCATGTCAGATCCATGGTAGAGGAGATTCTTCAAGCACTCTCATTCTACCATGAAAGGGAGTATAGTAGCTAAGTATAGCAGGCGACAAGAGGGGTTGCCTAATGACGATACGAGCGTACGAGAGATGGATGGATTTGGTAATTCAGACGGGGTACCAATAAACCAATTCCTGTGCTAACTTGCCTTACACGGGGTTAGTGAGCGGCTGCCATGCTAGGGCCAAACGATCCATTCCAACGTACAAGATTAATACGCCTCATGAGTGTAAATGGAAAATAAAAATCAATGCGCCAAGGACCCGAGGTGTTCCTGACTTGAATCAGGGAGAGAAATGGCTGGTGTAGACTGGCTGGTGAGAAGGGAGATCCCCCCCCCAACTGTGACGCCCACCAAAAGACCGCGTTTAGGGAGGTTAGGAGGGAGGAGAAAGAAGTCAAGACGGAGGAGGAACAGAGACCAGTCGTTTATTTTCGGCGAACAGACTCCAGAGCGCAGAGAGAGGGGGTTCCCAGCTATAATTACAACGCCAGAAGGTATCTTATCTTGTCTTCAACCTTGAAATAGTCAGTCATATTTTTTCTTTCGTTCTCAAATAAATATACTCTATAGTATAGTATTTGTATTAATGTACCGCTCTATTAGTAATGGCTACGCATAACTGAATCAATTCTGTGTATTACAGTACCACAGCCGTACGGTTCATAGTTACATACATACACAGAGGTATTATTGACTTTACCTTTCCTTTCCAGTAAGGGCGAGAGCGACTCTCATCTGGGCTCAGACCGTGTACAGGAAATTGGATTACTCCCTTCTCCATCTCTATGCGAGGTTCTGGAAAGGGGAGGGAGCGTCCACTATGACTATGTACTCCTACAACTCTTACTTTCGCTGGCTGGATATCAACTTGGTAACAGGTATTCTGTTTAAAGCCGTCTCAACTTTCAGTATGATCCAGTAATACCATGCAACACCTGACCTCTCCATACTGGTAGCAAGTTAAGTCGTTTGACACGATAGCAATAGGATATGGATTATAGATTATAAAATGCACGTCTCTGTTTCACAATCATCCAGACCAAATTCTGCAAAACACAATTCTAGGGGTTAACCTTTTAAATTTATGTATGCCCATATAATTTTTTGCATTGATTAGAGAATGAGCTGAAACCCAACGGAACCAGAGAGACGACGACTTCCAAGTTCCAACCCCCGGCCACATTACACAATACCATAACATAGTTATTACTTACCCACTCCTTACCACGCCTTCAAATACAGGAGAAGCGTCACACTTTACCATACAGATCGGGCGAAGCAGCTAACCTCCAGCGAGCCTCTCGAGACTCTTGTATCTCCGGCCTCCGTCCCTTCTCTTCTTATTCTTCTTCTTTTCCTTTTCTTCTACTACACCCGTCTGGAGAGAGAAGCAACTTCTCCTCTTTCTTCTCTCCTCCTTCTCCTTCTTCTATCTTCGCCGCCTCTCCCCTTTTTTCCCTCCTTCCTCTCCTCCCCCCCTTTTTCGTCACCTGCCAATTCTTTTTGAGAGATTCTGAGACCGGTCCCCAGGTAGAGATACAGTCGGCTGTCCTACTTCAGTCGACCTCATCTTGAACCCGTTGCACCAGCTCTTCAGTCGAGCCGTGTCCGCCAGCCCCCGCTTCGACGTTTCCCCATTTTCGACGTTTGTTAGCTCAAACGGCGAACCTTCCCCCTTTACCTGACAGCCGAAGTCCTCCCCGTGACATCGTCAGTTAGATTCCCCTGATTCAGCTTCTGCCGGTTAGAAGAGCAACGAGAAGGGTCTTCTTGATTTCTTTCCTCTTGGCCAACGTTTTTCGTGTACATGATTTTCTTCTGCTTGTAATTTTCCGGAGGTGAGAAATTTTTTTTTTTCCCTTCCTTTTTGGTGCCGTTCGGGTTCAACCCATGACTATAAACGTCAATCGGAAACATGAGATGCCATTATTCCGGGATAGCCTCACTCTTTACCTTCGAATCATGTCGAATTTAAAATAAGCGAGCTCCCTAGTCGGGGTGTATAATGTGCTGTCGACTGGCCGTTGAACAAGAGAAGATACCATTTCCTGTCAAGAACCCCGGATCGTTGCAACTCAAACCTCGAACAAGCCGGTGCCCTTCAATGAATCCAATTCGTCATTATTGCAAAAAACGTTCGAATCATTCATGGGTCAAGGAGGAGATAAAATGCAGGTTGCTCGGGGGTGGAACAATTGAGATCATCAATGGGGAAGAAGGAGCATTTACAGATAAGAAGCACTCATTGTGTACTCTTCCTGTGTGAACTCTATCCCATGGATAATTCATTGTCATTTAAGGAACACAGAGCTCGTTTTCTCTCAATCTGCACAGACTAAGGGGCTATCCTATGGGGAATGTACACTCTCTGGTGCATACTCGGGAAAGGACGATCTATGGCACCACATACCAAAAGAAGCTGACAATCTTGCGATTGCCGGCTTATTCTGGCAAACTGAAAATTAAATCTTGAATAGATGGATTGAGACTTGGATGGCTGACACTGGGATTCTCCCCTTTTCTAGGAACCGTTCTTACTCCGACTTCATATCACATTGAACTTGATTCAGCCTCGTTCCTTTGATGTGGATTTCGATAATCTAAACGTTCCTATATCCTACGAATCACCCCCTTCTTGTACAAGGACGTTCAGTAAAGGACTCTGGGTTGCAATCTGTACGTTGTGAACATTGCTGCATTCTGATCCCCCCTCCCCTGACAATATCCCTACCCCTACATAGGGTTCGTGCCTGTACTCCTGTTCCACATTCCGGAGTACACATAGGCTCGCACGTACAAACACCTGTTCCTAGGGCAAAGACGTTTAGTCGTTGTTTGCCTTTGGACTGGTATCGTCCAGTGTCAAGATTGACGGATCATTCCTGTGTCTTGACCTAAGCCTAGATGCCAGACACGCCGTCACGGTAAGGGTTGCATTGTGCCCTCTGCCCGAAGGCCTTTTCTCTGGGTTAGTACTGTTTAATCCTAAGGAGTTCCCCTTTATATCTTGAGCTTTCCGTTTCTTTCTTTCCATCTTCACCTCACTCTTTAACCTCTCTTTCAATTTCAAGGCTTTTGCATTCATTCTTTTTTAATTTTTTTTTAATACATTCACTAACACGGTCTCTCTTTTAGCTCTGGCCATCAAAGGCTCCCACCCCGTTGTGCGGCCTCATTTCTTCCAGTATCCAGATTATTGTCTCCTTACTGGGCATTCTTTAATATTCCCAACTAATTCCATTCATTAATCTCAAACTAATTTGACGACTGTCACTCTCTTAATTCCGTCGTACCCTGAGAGACACGGTGCTTTCAGGTCCACTCCTTTAATATTCAGATCGATATCGGTATCATTTCGACACCATGGCATACCACAAGCGTCCTACCTCCAGCCACCAACCCTGTGACACGTTCTTCGTGGAAACATACGACGACTTTCCTGCACCCCACATGGATCCTAAGGAACATGCAAAGCTGGTTGCTCGCGAACGTCAGTATGCTATCGCAGATGAACTGTCTAAGGTGGCAAGTGATGAATTTCGCGAAGACATTTTGTCCCACATGCTGGAGATGGATGTTTGTCTCCCTTGTTGTCACCCTACCCTAATATAGCTTCGATGCTAAACCAGATGTTCTACAGGCTGCTACCCTTCCTGACGTTGAATCGATTGACATCCAAACTGAAATCCAGTGGTTCATGCGTCCTTACCTCCTTGATTTCCTCATCGAAGCACACACTGCCTTCCAGCTGCTCCCAGCGACTTTGTTCCTGACCGTCAATCTTCTTGACCGATACTGCTCCAAACGTGTGGTCTATAAGAGACACTACCAACTGGTTGGGTGTGCTGCGCTGCTGATTGCCGCCAAATATGGCGACAAGAAGGATCGTGTGCCCACTATTAAGGAACTCAAATCGATGTGTTGCTCCCTGTATGATGATGACATGTTCATCCAAATGGAATGGCATGTCCTGCAGACTCTGGGATGGACTATCGGACACCCCACTGTGGACGGTTTCGTTCAGATGGCAGTCCTAGACACCCCTTATGACCCCGAGGTGGAACACCTGGCGTTATATATCGCGGAAATTTCCCTGTTTCACCGAGAATTCGTGTCCAAGCCGTCTTCGGACCTTGCTAGGGCCTCGCTCGCCTTGGCACGCTGCATCTTGAACCGCCCTCAACCTCGTCATACCGAATGGGCTTCTCAGTACGACTCGATGACGCTTGTTGGGCTCTCCCAACAGCTTCACCAGCCTTCGCAGGTGTTGTCAAGAAAGTATTCGTCGACACATTACTCGCGAGTCTCCAAGATCCTTGAGCAGTTCCTCGCGCGTCAGGCATCAATCGCCAGCTACACTCCGCCGAGCCCACCCTCTGATGTTGTCAACACAGACTCTAAACCCTACGAAGGTGAGATTGGGCTTGCTACCCCGCAGAAGGCTCCTCATCCGTCAAACGTGCCACATGGATATATCACGCCGCCAATCACCCCTGAGAACGAAGCATTTGCCAATGCTGGTAACTCAGGTTACGTGAAGGTGGTAACAGTGCCTAATGCTTGTTCCCCCTCACCAACCCCTTCACCCAGTGTGCAGTACATGAGCTCCCATACATACCAGCAAGACCCAACATATGCCACGCAGCAACAATTCCTGCAACCGCAAATGAGCTTTAGCACTGGTTATTAAGGCCTTTCCTATTTGAAAGGTCCTTCTCGTCAATAAGATCTCAACACATATCCCGATGCCACCATATGGTACTTTTCTCCTATGCGTACATACGTACTGTGCCATAATTGCTCTATCTGGTTTTACTATTTATCATTGAACCTCGGAGTCGTTCTCCAGCCTTCTCCAGCCTTCTTCACTGGCAGAGCTTGGTTCTTTTTTTTTTCCATTCTCATCTTTCCTTATTTGTCTTTTGCGAAAATTTGCATACCCCTCTCTTTAAGTTTTCACGCATCATATCTTGGGTGTACCAAGTTGCATTTAACCTGCCATTTGATTCTTGATATCTAGCATTGCAAGCGCGAGCCTTTCGAGTCCAAATTGCATTTACTGCCTGAAGTTCATCTGTTATTCTATTTCTGAATCACCTGGAGTTGCAAATCCGCTCAACTTTGTCGCACTGCTGTTGTGCGAAACAAAAAACGAAAACAAAAAAGCAGGTATTTAGCTCCTGGTGGTTTTTTTTTTTTTCCTCCCTTTTTCCTTTTTTATTCTTTTCTTTCTGAACTCATCCACACATCCTCATACACAGAGATTAATGTGGCTTCACCTTATCACCTTCCATGTTTTGTTTTAATACAAGCGAGGCTAAGCAAGGCCCGTTTGTGTGCTTTTTTATTGAGCACTGTCGCTTGGTTGGTGGAAGGAGGTTCCCTCCAAAAAAAGCAGCAAAATAAGGAAATCCTCAAGCACCAAAAAAATAGTTATTGAAGAGCATAGGCACCCAAGGGAGACCACAAGGGAGACGCCGGGGGGAGGACATAAACACGGATTCGTTAAGTCATGGTTGGAGAGAAGATAGTTGGACCGATGGACCCAATTGATCCATTGAACAGAAATGAAGTAGATTCTTTTCTTGAATTCTTGTATGGCTGCATGTCTTTACATCTAGAAAAAGTAGGCCAGGGGGTAGGTATCCTGAGTGGATGAATTATCGAGTGCCACTTGTTCTCATTCCCTGCTGGAATTTCTTAACATAAAATGGAATGGTTATTGCTGTTATTGGTTTGGTTTGGGTATTGCGGTGTACCCCAACCAACTCCAGTAGATACGGAGTTCAGTTAGTAGTGGACTAGTTAACTAACTAACTACTTAACTAACTTGTTACTAGTTAGTTAACTAGTTAGTTAGTTAGGAACTATTTACTGGTTACTATGTCCAGACTACAGAGTAAGTATTAACTCAGTATGGAGACTGGATAATTATGGGATAAGTGCTTATTGGGAACTTGAGATAATTAACTAGGTACTTACTTACGTAGTACGGAGTAGTACCTAGCTACCTAGGTGCCGCCGCTTTTACGAGTCGCCCTCGGATACATCACGTGACAAACCCGTGATCCAGTACACTCGTTGAGCTTATGTAATACTCAGGTACTTACCTAGGTAGGTAATAATATGGGTATTTTGTAGTCGTTGGGAGGTCGAGATTAATGACTCCGTAGTCAAATTATTATTATTATTAAGGTATAGAGTAGCGACATGGAATTTTAATAATCGTAGATTGGAACCTGAAAGGTGAGAAGATATGTATGTGTATCCTCCGTCCTTTCCGCACTAGTGTACAGATAGTAAATGAAGTGGGCTGGAACCGATTTGGTAGTATCTCGACAAACCGCACTAGTGGAACAATAAAGAAATAAAATCTAAACAAGAAAGAAAGAAACAAAGAAAGGAGAAATCATGAGAGTGATGGTAACCGGACGAGTCTCTACTCGTGTTGCGGTTTGGTGTGGTGTCGTGTTATGTCATATGATCTGGGATAGAGCGATTGGGTGATGCAGCTAAGGATGAGAGACAGATTAGGTAGAGGTTGGCAAACAACTAGGAATGGCAAGGGAAGGGCCGGGAAAGAAGGCAAAAAGGTATGTGTGACAGATAATGACTTGATCAGCAGCAGCAGAGCTGTGCCGAGCACTGTCTTTATCTCCCTCCCTCTTTCTGTGTCTGACGCTCAAGACTTGAGTGATCAAGGTCGGCGAATGAAGGAGTGACATGACAACGATATGATCAGGCGAGAAAAGCAACCACCCACGCTATGCGAAATGACAGAAAAAGCAAAGTCTGGACAAGGAAAAGTATAATATACAAGGTTGGGGAAAGGACCCGGGGTGCTGAAGATTAACGGGGGTCGATAAGCAAGGGTGGTTCGAACTATTCTGGGAAGCTGGAACCAGTCGAATAGACTCGTTTCTGGACTTGTCTTTGTGAGAATGGCCCAAGAGAAAGATAGGGTAGAGTTCGCCGCCTGCTAGCTGGGTTGCAGGAATGTAATAACACGTGTGTTAAGGAGAAAGGAGAAAGAAGGGGAAAAAAAAAAAAAAAGAGAGAATAAAACATGAGAAAACACAAGGGTGGGGAAATAAAAACAGAATCCGCCCATAGATAAAATACAATGCAATGCAATCCGTTCCGTGGTCAAATGATAAATAATGTACAAGGGAGGGTGAGAAAGGCAAGTAATGATGATAGGAGCTGGGAGAGCGAGTCTGGGGCAACCATCAGTAGCCATCAGTGATTCAGGGGGGCCGGCTTTCAAGGACGCTGGACTTCCGGAGTGGAATAGTTAATGTTGGCAGAGGATCCGTCGACTACCGGTCGAGAATGAGAGACAGGCGAAGGATAGTCGCAGTTAGACTGCTCTCTGTGATGATGAAGGGGAAATGCCGGCGCCGATCTGGTCGCCTCACTTTTGGATGAAGCCGCGCGGATAGGGCGACAAGTTCTGTAACTCCAGCAGCTGCCAGCAGCGCTTGACACCATGAAACAATAGGGTGCCATATCATCCATCAAAAGAACCAATAATAAAAATAAGAAGAAGAAGAAGAAGAAGAAGAAAATGAAAGATATATCAAGGTCAAAAGGTGGCAGTGGTGAAAAGATGAGAAATCTACTTCCACCGCTGTTTGTCCCAATCAGACGGTCGTGTTTCATCGTAGATTTGACCGCCTTGGTTATGGATGACGACCGGAGGTTGTGTTTTGCGTGGGACAGGATTAGACCCTAAAGATGCAGCCAGCTGTCTGTGAGCAATGGTTTTGGAGACCGTCAAGAGAGATCTAGACTAGAGACGTAGCGACATACCTCGCATGTTGGCAACCACCACCACCTGGTCACCGCTACTGCCACTGCTGGACAGAGTGGAATTGGACTCGTTGGCTTTGAGAGGCATGTTGAATGAACAATTGAATTATGAAGATGTTGAAGAGGGTTGAAATTGATGATGAGACTCAGGTAGAAAGGGTCAAGAGACCTGATATATATATACACTAGTTATATATATAGAGATGGACAGATCGTGGCGAAGTCAGTCTAGAAACTAGGGAATTCAACGATGATGATGATGATGATGATAATAATAATAAGATGAGAAGATAGGGGATGGATTTAAATTGTTGGAGTGATGATGGGAGAGTACAGGATGCTAGAGAGGAATTGGAAAAGTCAGTGAGGATGGGAAGAGGCTTTTGTATTGTACAGAGTAACCAGCGAGGTATAAGGAATTCAATCAAATCCAATAACGAAGGATCCAGATGAGGGAATGGAGAGAAGGAAACTAAATTAGCTCTAGAAAAGAACTTAGATCAGTCATGTTTCTTTCTAGTTAACCAAGAAGGGCTTAACTGTGGATTCTTTTCCTCTTCTACATACAGATCGATCCAGATGGGTGGATGTACTCCGGATACTCTAACCAACGTCATCAACTATTTTAATATTATGATTATCCCCTTTCTGTCCTTCTCATTTCTGCCAGACAAGAAGAATACAAAGTCAATTCATCTCGCTTCCAAGCCTGATCTCCCACTACTGCTGCCAGGGCCAATGCTATCAAAACGATTATCTTGATCCTGGATCACTGATCGCTGGATGATTAGATCAGTCAGTGTCTGTAAATCCATGGATATATTTCGCCTTGTTCTACCTAGATACCTCTCTCGTCTAGGCTTCTATACTTCGTACCATATCTGCACACGCAAGATGAGGCTGACTATCTATCTTTCCCGGTTGTGTTTATCTCTCGAGGCTGTAACTTGCTCCTCTGGAATAAGGTGGCGGATCTCGAGGCGGCTTTTTCCCTTCCGTATAGGTGGTGTATGATGATGGTATCTCAGCTGCTTCCAAGAGTAAGGCGGCCACAGAGGCCTCTTCTTGTATTTTACACACAGCCAGGCGATTCTACTACCTAGGTAGTCACCACCTCCTCTCTTAAAGAACCACATCTCCATACAAAAGCTGGAGGTAATTAATTTACTCTGTACGTGTACTGGGCTGTAAACAAAGCTAAACCCAACCCAGGCAGTCATACAGCACTAGTCCAGAGATAGTTAGCGCAGTTCGCTTCGGATGACTAAGCCTACGTGTCGTGTCCTGCCAACTCTCTAAGGCATACACCGCCTACTTTAGTGCCAGGTATGATTATTAGCTGCCTTAGAAGCTAAGGTATTGCCAACAGAGGAAATGAATGGCACCATCCATTGTGTCTGATTATTATGATTATCATATTATTAGCATTATTATTATTTTCAATAAACTAAGACAAGGCCATGATTGATAATTTCCCATATCAGGTCAGGTCAGGTGAGAAACAACTAAGAAGGCAAAAAAAAAAAAAAAAAAAAAGCAAAGAGAGGAGCCAACTAAACTACTCACTCCGTACAACGCCTCATTTCTTCCTCTGTGGGACGGAAGACCTCGGGAAAACAGCTTGCTTGTTGGATGCTCTCTCCCTGCTACGGAGTACTGTACTGTACTACTTGTACTACTCTCCTGCTTTTCAACTGACAGAACCGTCTGGAAGGGAGGACTGCCACTACTACACTCGTAGATCCTACCCTGAAAGCCGTGCCTGCCACGATGGGCGGTAGAGAGACTAGAGAGTACCACTTACCTGGTAGGTACGGATAACAAGGCTTCTTCATGAGTGGTTGTTTAGGGGGGGCAGACATGCTCACCGCAACGGGGATGCCCTAGTGAGCTCCATACACTGTACGGAGTACCTAGGCAGGTACCTGGATTTAGGGAGGTACCGGTACCTGGCCAGGACCCAGGTACTTACTCCCTCCGTATTGTACTCCGTAGTCAATATCTACTTGTACTCTGAAATCAACTTGCCCCCCCCCCCCCAAAAAAGTACCTATATTTTTAGACCGCTGTGATGAGTGAGTTTCAATTATGCGTTTTGTCTGGACCCTCAGCCAAGTCCACATGGACTTCTATAGAAGCATCTACTGTTTCATGAAGGGCTCTCCCTTGTTCCCCCCTTCCCCCCCCCCCAAAAACCAGTTAGCACTGGGAAATACTAATTGAGAGACAGGGTGATTATTTTTTGGACGGTAACTAGGTCTGACTTGCATGATTAGTCATTGAATTCGTTGAGGTTGTTGATTAGTTATAAGTAACTAGTTATAGTTAATGGGTTAGTTAGTGGTAAATAGAGAGATCATTATTATTCTGAAGCGGCCTCCAAATCCCCGGCGACGATCATTGATCCTTCACAGAACTTGTTATGCTTCGGATGGAGTAGTACGTTAGACGGCAGACCTAGAAGGCGGCCTCTCCCAGTGTACTCCGTAGGGGCCAGATCTCGATTCTGGGCCGCCACCCGAATGCTAGCTGCTGGCTTTACTTGTTTTCCCGCCTCATCCGTTCTTCCCATCCATTCATACTTCGTCGAATCCCCAGCGTCCTTCTCGTCGTCGTCGGTCCGCCCGACTGTAGCCGCGACATTGTAGTAGTGTGATACGTGGTCGCTGGTCTGACTGTCCCGACCGTGCTTGTAGAGCTAGTATTAATCTCGCTTACCCCCCACCCCCTCTGATCCTCGCCCTTGTTGATGATGATCTCTTTGCTCGCTTGATCGCCACGCAACATCTCTTTTTCCGTGGGCTTTGAGGCCCCAGCCAACCACCGGTAGCGATTCGGATCAGAAGGTTCGAGAATTGGCCGCGCCGGCTGCAACTGTTGGGCTTGAGGCCGATGGCCAGAATACTGCGTGGGGATTGCGCCTGCCAGCCTTGCATTGGACAACGACGCGCTCTGGAAGCCATGTCCTGTGCTGCATAATCGGTTTCGGGGTGGTTGGTCGCCTTCTCCTCGTCTCGATTCGCCGCTCTTCTCCTGGGGCTGGGATGAAGGCTGGCCGCCGAAGAAGCTCGAGATGCGTTTCTGCGGACGGTTATCGGGCTTGCGAGTACTTGGGGCGCCGCCTGCTGTGGGTTTCGGTCTGCTCACAGTCTCTGACTTCAATGCCTCTTCCTGTTTGTACGAGTTCGACGCTATGTACTCGCGAGCGGTCGAGAATCCAGACATGGTAGTGGGCACCAAGTATTTAGATCCGTTCATGGTAAATGTGGACGACGACGTGGATGAGAAAGCTGTTGTTGTTGTTGTTGTCGAATATTGCTCATGATCATACCGCCGTCGTTTGCTACAAGGCTCGCCCTCAAGGGCTCGAGAGCCATCCCACCGAATAACAGCATCCGGCGATTCCAAGCCGTCCTCCGTCCACTGATCGTCATATATGGAAGGAAGGGACATCTGTCCCTCGATTATTGCCGCAGTTGACGGTCGAGGTCGTCCCAGGATATCCGCAATGCCGTAGACAATTTTCTCGCTCAGGCTAGGCCCAGCCATGCGAAGGCGCGTGGCTATTATTTTCTGCGAGAGAAATGGCGTGACACTGGTTTCCTCGCCGTTTAGGGCTTGTCGAAGAGGATAACTCATATACAGCAGCGCCTGCGCTCGGGTGATAGCTACGTATAGCAGCCGTCGTTCCTCGTCTGAGTCCTCTGCACGTGAGTGAGGGATGATGCCTTCATAAACCGCCGGCACAAATACCACAGGCCATTCGAGGCCCTTTGCCGCATGGATGGTGGAAATAGTAACTTTCTCCTGGGATTGCTCTTCACCCTGTGCACCTTCTTGGGAGATGACCTCGGTAGAGAGTGCCACGTTGGCCAGAAAATGTGATAAAGCTTCTTCTCCAGGGTGGCCTTGCTGTTGGACAAGGCCCTGGATCTCAGGGAGATTTTCATCTTGCCCATTTTCAGGCCCGGATGCAGCTGTGTCATCTGCTTGACTCAGAAGCTCCTCGACATTCGCCCATCGATTCTCTTCGTTCGTGCCATAAGTCGCTGTAAGATATTCCCGAAAGGAGAGTTTTTTAATCACGATTTCCAAGAGCTTCCGAGGCGCTGAGCGATCGGTACACTCACGTAGCTTCTTTGTACAGTACTCAATCAGGCCGACCAGGGTGCAAAGTCCTTGGTCAGTAGGTTTGGCGAGTGTTTTCTCAGTCGACCTGCGGCCTTGGGCTACATCCTTGATAAATTCCCAAAGCGGCTTGTTGGCCTTCCCAGCACTACTTAGCAGCGACTTGATAGTTTCCTCACCGATCTTCCTGGACGGAATATTAATGATGCGCAGGAGGGCATCGGTGTTTCCTGGGTGGCTAATGACTCGTAGATAGTCTAGGAGGACCTTGATTTCCACTCTGTCGAAAAACCTCAAACCTCCCACCATTCTGTACGGGATGCCCTGTTTCCCCATTTCGGATTCTATTTGTCGTGACAGGGAGGCAGATCGGAGTAATATTGCAAAATCGGAATAATTCAGCAGCTTTCCTGTCAGCCCTATACATCTCTTAATTTCAAGTACAATCCACTGAGCTTCTGCATTGGCGGATGGCAGCTTGCGCAGCACGGGCATCGTTCCAACGGTGTGAGTTGCTTGCAGCTTTTTAGCCGGTCTCGATGAATCTTGCTCAATGACGTCCTGAGCAGACTTCAGAATAGAGCCCGATGAGCGGTAGTTATCCTCTAAGAGCACAATTGCCGTGTTGCTATACAGTCGCTGCATTCGAGACAGGTTTTTGACTTCCGCAGAACGGAACCCGTAGATGCTCTGATCAGGATCCCCAACGACCGTAATCCGCCTGTTTTGGGACGCGAGGAGATTCATCAACTCATACTGTATGTGATTCGTATCCTGGAATTCGTCGACAAGAACTGACTGTACGTTAGAGACGCACTCTGGATGTTTCCGAAGTAACTCCGCACATCGTAACAGTAGGTCATCGTAGTCGAGTAAATTGGAGGCCTTCAGGTCGTTTTCGTATTCCCGGTATACTTGGGCAAACTCCCGGTGCTCTAGGACTTTGCTCTCCTTGTTGTATTTTGCCGCCGCCTCATCGGGAGACACTCCCTGGGCTTTTTGGTGGGATATGCGTGACCTCGCGGTGTTTGGCTGAATCCCGAGCTGTAGACGCTTTACAATTCTCTGCAGATTGTCAACAAACAGCACGACGCCAAGCTGAATCCTGAACATGTCGTCCATGTTTGAAACCGTACCCTAATAATAGCTAAACTGTCGCTCGAATCCGCGATTCCAAATCCCTTCCGCAGCCCGATCAAATGCCCATACACCACTAAATACCTACGACAGATCGAGTGAAATGTACCCAAAATTAATTTCGACTGGATTTGATCACCTATTAATTTGGACAGGCGCTCTCGCATCTCCCGACTCGCTTTAATGGTAAAGGTGCAGCAGATGACGTCTTGTGGGCGGTATCCATGGTGGGCGAGGAGATAGGCGACGCGTGAGGTTAATGTTTTCGTCTTCCCAGATCCCGGGGGAGCGAGAACTTGTAAAATAGATGCAGGAGAAGTTACCGCAGCCCTCTGGGCGGAGTTCAGTCCATTTAGAATTAGATCTAGAGGATCCATGAGCGAGTTTGGGATGTGGTGGACGCGTAGTTGATAGACGTCAAATTCGTCGCCCGTCCAAATATTGGAACACGCTTTTGTCGCGAAGTCAGGTGACATACATCGCAAGCAAATCATGGACTACAGTGAGACATAAGAGTTGAGTAGATGAAAGAATATGAAGATAGAGTCTGCAGGATTACATTTTATTGGTCTTATTGCTGAAGAAGAACGGGATCCCATTGGAAAGGAGACAAACTATGCTCCAAGCAAAGCCATGGGTAGACAATCATTTTGGATCCATTTATATTGAGGTGATGATTCTTCGACAATATAAACTACGGTACTGATGATACCCCCAATACTGAATACATGGGAGGACTTGGAACTGCTCCATGAAAAGATCAAGGGACGTGCAAGATGATGATAATAAGTTATGGAGAAATCTAGAACATGGAGATGAATGGTCACATGCACGGGCCAACTGGATTTTCTACCCTTTTCCTATTTTTAAAGTCAAACTACAGGAACAACCACATACGCTCTCTCCCTCCCCAAATCCAATTTTGTCATCTTTCTCTGGCCGTTATGGGCTGGGTCGGAGTGGCCACACTTGTTGCGACCACATGTTTCCTGCTCTATCGACATCCTCCGGCCTCCTGGTTCCCCAGCTTACCCACCCCTCCAACCCGAACGGAATCAACCAGCGGGAAAGAACTCCCTACTCGCACCACGGAAGAAAAAAAGACAAAAAATGATATTATAAATGATTCACAGGTTTTGGTCGAGGAAGACCAAAGGGTGGAGGAGTCCCAAACGACCCCAAAGGCATCCGCATCGAACGCACCATCCCTTCAAGTCCCCTCTCTCCAGCTTGACAACACCACCGACAAAATTCCTGTGAAAGAACCAGCAGCAGATCTACCCCAAACGCCAAACGGTTCGATGCACCCACCACCCATCATCCTCGCCCCAACAGACACCATGACCCAGACCAGCCAGATGTCACCATCGCAGGCGCCCGCAACGGGCGGCTCTTCCTTAATGCCCCCTCCCCCGCCTCCGTCGCGACTACGACCAACCTCAAAGCAGCCACAATCCGCGCCCTTAGCTCTAACAGCCGGACGATATCCTCCTCAAATAAGTGGCAGACCCAGCAGTAATAGCACTCTAAGCCCTCCCCCGTCCGCAGCAGCATCCCTCAGAGTACCGCAGAACAGCCGGCCCACGGGTAGCACTCTCGCGCCTATCCCAGTCCTAAAACCATCCAAGAAATCGTCGCAAAGACCGATTCTCGAGCCTGGCTTCTCACCTCTAGACTGGGCGGCACTTACCTCCAACCCCAACAATAAGCTCCGCGGCGCGAATTTGCCCCCTACCCTGATTCGTGTGACGCCTTCGATGCTCAAGGCGCAGCACGGGCGGAAGGGCACCGATGCCTGGACTTCATACCAAGGCAAGGTCTATAACATCACCCCGTATCTTCCGTTCCACCCAGGCGGGAAAGGTGAATTGCTCCGAGGCGCTGGTAAGGACTCGGGTAAGCTGTTTATGGAGATTCACCCATGGGTGAATTGGGATGCGATTCTCGGGGAGTGTCTTGTGGGGATTCTTGTTTCTGAGAACGATTCAGAGACAAGCGAGAATAGCCTTGATGCCATGGACTAGGTCTTGTCTTTCTGTTTACTTTGCCTGTTTCACCTGTTTCGTGGATAGAATAGGAGGGTTGATTGTACTATATATATACAGATGCTACCCGTTATGATGCCCATAGAAGGTAAATACTACATGTGATACCCATCCACCAACTTTGGTGACTACTACATACATCGCATTTATTCATGCTTATTATTTGGTTCCAAATTGCTAATAAATTTATAAAAGCACTATCCTACTAGAGATGTAAGGTACCTATTCAATTTAGATATAAATAGGTAATGAATGGATTGTGTTGGGATGTATTCCATTCACTTCCACCACCACCAAGCAAACGCTTAGCGACACGTTGGCCACAGTATTTATTTATTTCGTCAATTTGCCCATCAGCTTCCTGTATCTTCAGCAACCCATCTCATTAGTTCTGGCATCAAATTGAATGCTTCCTACCGTTTATCATATTTCAACCCTGATGCCTCAAACTGATCCGCGTTACTGCTATCTAGCGAGTATCCCAATTCAGGACGGAAATACCAGTCTTTCACTCCTGGGGGTGTGGACCAAAAATAATACTGTATCAGGTAGAAATGGTTGTCTGGACCCCTTTTTCAGCTGAACGGCCAAAGCTGACATCCAACAATACTAGCACGCCGCCTCGTTTCTCCCGACAACCGAACACTTCTAGTGACCGGACAGGACAATTCAAGGAGATCGAAGGCGAGCTGGTTGCCAGAATCGGAACAGACGGGATATCTGTGGTTCTTTAATATTACTAAAGACACACTCCACTCACTCCAGCACAAAACATCACAAAGCACCAGACACGCACTGACTTGTCTGTCGTCGTTAAACTAATACCGTCCAGCAGCAACAGGGGACTACTGGAGGGGGGTTTTGACCCTGGAGAAACACCGAAACGGCACCGTACTACTTATATAATTTAGACAAGTGCACACAAGCGCAAGCTCCATGTCTGGATGCTTTCAAGAATTCACGGCAATCTCTCTGCCCAGCTTTTCTCCCTGACCTGTGACAAGCTGAAATCAGCAGGCCTACTCAACACTGCCTGTGTACCGAACCTCTCCCCCCTCAATTAGACTTGAGGACACTGCTGCTCAGTCAGATGGATGCTAGGGCCCCTTAAACAGCGAGGACTTTACAGTTCGCATTGAGGGTGGGGATTCCGAAAGCGACACCGAACTCAGGCATGACGCTCGACATTGGATCGAGCATGCAGAACCATCCTTTCAGATCTGCCTCGTTGTTCAAGCTCAGTGAAAATCCCGATACGATTACACTTTCCGTCTGGCTGAGCAGCAGTGTTCTCAAGTCTAATTGAGGGGGGAGAGGTTCGGTACACAGGCAGTGTTGAGTAGGCCTGCTGATTTTAGCTTGTTCCAGATCAGGGAGGAAAGCTGGGCAGAGAGACTACTATGAATTTTTAAAGATATCTAGACACAGAGCTTGCACTTATCAAAATTATAGAAGTAGTATAGGTGTCTAGCACTTCGACTGGGGCTTCCCCCGAAGGTTACATCATATATATATATATATGGAACCGGCCGAATTCCCCGCGTGCCTAGGCATTTCAACCGACCGACTAAACTATAACGCTTGATTTTCTGGTACAAGAGGTCGTTCATTCATAAGTGGGGTAAAATCCATATATACAATAGACTAGACTAGACCTCCTTGTCTCTATTTTTTTTTAGCTTCCTTTGCTCCTCGCTCCCAGGAACACCAGCATGCAGCATGGAGAGGCAAAATGGGCTGATCAGCAAGAGCCTTCGCCTAGAGATTACGCATAACTATGGCTAATCATGAGGTCTCTCTTCTCACCCCTTGTATATCAACGAAGAAATGGTCCTCTAGATGGCATGACTCAAAGTAGGTACAGAAGTAAGGTAGGATCTTGAAATGCAGCTTACGAATTAAAAAAAAAGGGAAATAAAAGAGAGTTAATGAAATCTTAGCAGAAGGATTGGTGTATTGTTAAAAGACCAGCTCTATTTACCAAAATATGTTACCGGATCCTGCTTTGTGTTCTAAATATTTACTCATATATGTATCCTGAACAATAAAAAGAAACCCCGACAGATTTTCCCCTCACTATAGCATCTCAGGCCCATTTACCAAGGAGCGCCATTAACAGGGCGCCCAGACACAAGAGACCAAACGCAGCAAGCACCGTCTTAATGGGAGCCTTGCGCATGGAGGTGCTGAACATAAACTCGTGGGCCATGAGCTCCACAAGGGCTGTGTAGATAAGAATACCAGCCGAAATCGAATCAAAAACGCCGTTGACAACCAGAGTGGTGAAACCTTCGGGAGGGTATGTCTGGCGCACACCCAATCCGACGGCAATTGCAATTGGGGTCGTCACACCGTATGACAGCCCCAAAATGTAAGGCGTCCACTTTTTCGAGCGAGGCCACGGAGTCTGCGCCAGGCGGGACCCTAGACCTAGGCCTTCGAAAGTTTGATGGAAAACTAAAACAATGTATAGGGTTGTGAATTCCGAACCAGATACGGCCAGGGTTAAGCCGATAAAGGCAGAGTGGAAGATGATTCCAAACTCCAGAATGAAGACAGAGGTCAACTGGGACACGTATTCCTCCAGGGAAGAGTTCTTTTCACCCAGCTCGGGGTCATGATGTTCCCGAGAATGTCCAAGGTGATCTTCACCTGGAAAATGGCTTTTCGTATCAACTCGTTCCACACTGCGCCTCTCGATCTCCTCATGAGAGGCAGGGTCTTCCATATCATGGGCGTGGCCCACGCCGAAGCGAGCATACCGCATGACCATCAACTCGACAAAGAATAAGACGACAATGGTCATAAGAATAATACCTTCCGCCCAAGAATAATCGGTGATTGGGCCAGTTAAACACTCATTTCGTAGAGCGTCCTCGGCGGGACCAAGCAAGTGAATGAATGCTGTGGCGATGATGACACCGGAGCCGAAATACTTGGCGATAAAGAACGCCCATCCCGGGACCTTGGAGTTTTGGTAGTTTCGAGCAAGAATGGGGAACAAAGCACCGAATGTCGAGCCAACCAGGATGACGAAGATGGATGATATTCGCAGTCCCATGCGGCCATCATATTCGTTACCTGTATCACAGGAAGGCTGACTGCCATCCTCGTCTCGAGGAAGAAGAGCAAGAAGTGGATTCATGATGCCCGATATGCGGTAAAAGTGGCGTATAGACCACTCAAACGGACTAAGACGCGTTGAGGTAAGATCGACTGAATAGTAGGGAGCTCTTTCGATAGAATTGACCGAATAGGCAAAAGAGAGGCCAAGCAAGGGCCAATAGACTTCTCAAGGCAAGGAGCGACCCAATAATACTGCAGAGCAAGTCGAGTAGGAATGCAGGTCGGATCAAAACCACGTGGAAGACAGAATGAGGTCCGCAATGGCCAACCTGATAATCTTGAATATCAGTCCGCTTGGAAATCTTGGTGTTTCTTGTCCCGCCCTTCTTATACCATAACTTCTCCCGCGCAGTCTTGGTGCAGTGGGGGCTAAAGGGCGTCCACAGGGTCCCCTCGATCAGCTTGGCAAAGTGCCAGGCCTATAAGCGCTGTGAAGACAGGGAAACAAGAGGATCTAATGCTGGCGGATTGAGGACCTTTGTGGCCTGCCGTGGTGGGATGACAAAACGCAATTACCACAGAGGGCCTGTAACTAGCCCAGGGGGAAAAAAAAGACCGCTGAATGAAGGAATTGCAAGGGACGACTAGCGTCTGTATGTAGAAGAACTGCGATAACGACAGCGGGGAGAAGCAAGGCGAACTGATACACGGACCGGAGGGGAGAGAGAGAGCAATGACTTCAAATCCATGGTGGCCGGAGACGAGGATTAGAGATTTCAGTAGGCAGATGGGGTGACAGCGGGATGGGGACCTTGGAGGACAATTTTGAGGTGTCGACGTCAGGCAGGAGGAGTTTTGAGGACCTTGGGAACCGTACTTTATTTTTTCATGGCCTTTGATTGGTCGAGTTTTTCCTGCTTGGTGGGGTTTATCACGTGAGAATTATACAAATATTATCCCAGGATTATGTAACCCGGAGAGTCATTATTATGCACATCCTTGGTCAACATCATGCTTGCTGGCCTGCGGAGGAAACATCACAACACGAGCTCCGTTTGACCTCTGTACTCATGGCACCGATCCGGCGGTATCTGAGAATCAGCAAGTATACTGTCCTGGAATGCAGGATTTACCTGGAAAACCCCTCAGACACGCGATGGCTACTCGACACCCGTGACCCTGTTCTCCCCCGCATCTTCGCCGCCATCCGACCCTTGGTGCTTCCTAAACTGCGAGAGGAGAATGAGAGGCTGTTTACTCGGAAGAAGGGAAGACCTGTTAAGGATGTGATGGCTGAAGGTGCGTTTCGACTTGACTTGACGTAGCTAGGTACTAGTTTTGCTAACCGCATGCAGAGGACTTTGAGGTCTCGTTGTTTCTTCGTGAATCACATACTCGTCATTCACTTCTGACACAGCACAAAAACTTTGAGGCAGCTGAGAATACATTAGCGCAGACAAGACCCACCGCTGGAGCCGATAGACATGCCGACACTGGGATCTTAATCGAGAGTGATAGCGAGTCGGAGATACATATGGATGCGATTCCACAAGCAGGCGCAGATGCTGAGGAAGAAGATAATGCACTTGGCAAAGACACAAGAGCGTCGAATCACCAAGACAATACGTTTGATAACCAACGCACCAAACGAAAGAAAGGCGAATCACCCAGCCAATCATTAGAGGAGGATGATAAAAAGATGCGTTTCAAGACGAATTACGAAGGCTTCAACATCTATGGGTGGATGCTGTGCTTGCTTGTCACGCGAACGGGGGGCAAAGAGAACGCCAAGACGGCCCCGTCAGAACCTACGCGTCAAGTATTAATGGAAGAGTGGATATCCACTCAAGCTCAGGGGACTCTGGATGAAGAATAGGAGGTGCAATAATCTGGGAGCGGAGCTTTCCATGCCGAATGTCGTCGCACTCTTCTGTGATTCAACCATAGTACCTTGTCTCGCTGTCGCTATCAGCGGTTTGTTTCTGGCATGGTGGAAATCAACTCTACAGAATTTAGTATCTGAGGCACTAGAATATCCTAGTCATCAGGGAGCAAGACTCGGGATTCGAGAGCCATATACTCGCTACTTCGCGGGAGCTCCGGTGAGAGCATCAGTATGTTCCGGAAACAGCATCACCCGGTCACAGTTACACGGGGGTTGTTGCGAATCTCCCCCTTGCAGAAGAGTTGGCTTCACACCGAAATCATATGATGACCTTTCGTAAGAAAGGAGTGAGTTAACGAGTGTAGGCTGAAACTGTTCCCTGCACCACTGGACATAGGCTCAAGTGTAACTGGAACTTGGATTCCCCTGGAAGTCGGTCTGGTGTGGTTTGCGTGTGCTACCTTGGGTGTCATGAATTGGCTCCACAGGAAACTTATGTCCCTGACTGGGAATCATATCTACGTCCAGTACCTACCAAACTTCTATATCTCGCATTCTCTGAACATTACATAGAAAGCTGAATTGAAGCCGACTATCACCATCATCATCACCCTGTACTACATATACTGCAGCTCCTGAAACATCAATTTTAAGCCCCGGGTTGCTGCATAAACTACGGAGCATGTTGCCATGCAAGTCATAGCTCCGTACGGAGTACATGCAACGTTTCAAGTTTCACGCGGCAATCTGAGTCCTGGCTCCTGACTCAAGCTCAATAATTCCCGGTTCCAGACAAAAAGGCAAGCTCCTCCCCGCCCAGCAAAGCCACCACCACACCTTTTAACCTGGGACCCCTGAGGTTCTGAAACATAGCGTGAAATATATATGGTTTCTGTGCCACCGGGGATTGATTAGTTGTCTAACTCTACGGAGTCAGAGACTCTTGGATGGGGAGCAACCTTAACCTAATCTAATTTTACGGTTCACTTTTCCGTGTTGGCTCCTTTTCCCACAAAGATCGTTCCCTCCGGTCATCGGATGAACATCAGCAGAGTAAGAAGGAATATTGCTGATGATAATTATCCGTCAGATGCCGTTGATAAGGAATCCCGATCAGGTTTCACTGGCAACATCCACTCCAGATATCAATGACTGGATTATCATTACAATTGCCAATTCCGCCGTCTTCCAAGTCACAAGGCTAGTAGTACAGGCACTCCCAGCGAGTGGCCGGCTCACGATTACCAACTCCGTCCAGAGTCAGGTTAGGTTCAAAGCAAAGCCCGAGGATCCGAAATGATTCTCGCTAGTGTTTGTTTATTATTGGCGCGGCTATCAACCAATTTAAAATATCTTCAAGCTCACTAACCGGACAGAAGAAAGCGCGCGCGCGCGTGTGGATCACGAGACATCACTGAAACTGGCTACTACTTAGTATAGCACCTAGTATACGGATTAGGCCGACAACTTCCAAAGAAGAAGAAAAAAAAAAAAAAAAAAGGCTCCACTACGATCGGCTAAATAAAAGCGAACACAGCCCGCAACTAAGTATGAATAATACTAAACAATGAAGCGTGAATAGTCAGTCCGTCTCCGCCAAACTCCGGGAGTAGGCCGAAATTGGATCTAAGAGGGGCTCTCTAAGCCTCTCTTGCCGAAGGACTGCAGGAGGCAACGTTGAATGGAACTTGGAAGCTCATCAGCCGTTAGTCCCATGAGAAAGGGTCCGCTGGCTAAGGAGCGGTGAACCATGGATGAACTTGTTTCTGGAAGACGGCCCATATTCTTCTCTGGAGACTTGAGTTGCAAGCGGAGAATCTCCCTCGAGATTTCTCGGTAGGATGATCATCATAAAATTCTCCTTGTGACGGCGCAGAGAGGGCGATGTATTCCGATCTGTTGTTCTACTCTTGTGTTTTCCTATCATAGTACTCCGTAGACAAGGCGTGAATTATTCCCAAGCTTGTTTCCTACCTAATATTAACTAGTCTAACCTAACTACTATAGTAACTTCCTGGCAATGCAGGCAGCCCAAGTAGGAGGATGGAAACTCACTAATCGCCCCAAATTACCAACTTTCCCCCACGAAACCGTCCGACTGATTAAGAAGATTAGGTATGACCGTACGAGTAGTTAGTTAACTAATTGTGCAATTTACCAATTACCATGACCAAAAGTTTTTTTTTTTTTTTTTTTCCCGCCTCTTTGTCTTGATTCCTAGCGGAATTCAATTTGGGAAATCTGCATCCTGCCAAGCTAATGGAGGATTTATCTAGGTGATGCGGTACACTCCCGATGGTTTTGTTAGTAGACTGGGTGGGACCTCTGAAGCTAGTAGAGCCTAGGAGAGTCTGGAGAGATATACTACTTATTATTCAGCTGCCAGCTTGCCTATTGCCAAACTAGGCAAATACAGCGATAGCATAATCCATCCAGAATCTCTCTCCACATCAAGACATCCCTATTCTTTCTCTTTCCCCAAGTCTAGTCCATGTCTTTTCAGCGCTTTACCTAGCTTTCTTGGGGGACGCTTGTTGGGTTTGGCATGTCTATTGCACCTGCCGTTGGGTGATTTGCAGTTTACGGAGTATAGTTAACTAAAGGCTGGCAGGCTGGTTACTAACTAGGTAGGCAGCGCGGCTCCCCACCAGAGGCCTTTGATCCCTATTTAGGAAAGCGGTGCTCAGATGACTTGACCGCTTTGAAGGATTCGAGGGCCCCATCGTAACTAACAAAAATCACCGTCGTTAGTCTCGACTCTCGAGAACCCTCTGTAAGTAGGTATCCCACCAACGGCGTGGAATGAACTCCCCCAAGTGTGTGGATCACTCATTTCGTTCAACCTTTTTTTTTTTAGGACCGTCAAATCCACTCCTCCCCTCCTTCCACTTGGGTTCATGCCATGTGCTTTGCTCGCCACGCCGCCAAATTAAGCCCAGGCTACGCTCACTCGAGACTACTGTTGATTTTTACTTGAAAGAACTTCACGTCGAAATCTCATGTGACCGTTTAGGTTTAAAAAATGATACGCTAAGAGTGCTCCAAAGCTCAAGCCTTGCAGTTGTATGTTCATTTATTGTGATGATCATTATTATTCTACTAGAACATGGCTGCATGCACTTCGTAATCGCCCCCTCCCCCTCCCCCCCCCCAAAAGAAAAAAAAAAAGACTGACAGCAGGATGCAGGTACCTATCTACATAGGAGTATAGTTAAACCATCGTGAATTCCAGGAGAGATGGTAAGCGAGCGAACGAGTTAGATCACCCAATGAGAATACCTGAAAAAGGCGTATCAGTGGATCAACCTGCGAGTGGATGCAGTGATCAAATTCGTGACGTGCAGGATCGTCATCCCCCCCCCTTCTCTCTCTCTCTCTCTCTCTTTTTCTTTTCCGTTCTCCAGCCGCATTCCATGTACAGAAGATCGGCCACGTCCTGTTTTTCGATGGTTATCAACGGCAGGGTGGCCTGCTTGATTACTGACTTGAAATTGATTGGGTGAGACAGTGCTGCACATCTTAATAGACGGTACTACTCAATGAATGGAGTAGGTGTATCCCCCATCTTTTTTTATTACTCCATACGTGCCGCATGTGGAGGATCCTGTACGGAGAAGATACACCAAGTCCGTCATGGACGAAAAAGCTGTGGGATCTGAGTCGTTGGCCTAGAGGGGCTAGCGGGTATTCAGTTAGTCATTACATAAATAGTCCCTAAGCATGAGCAGTGTAGTAGCAAAGCAATCATTGTGAGGCAAGTGGGAATGGCATGTATTTTTCTTGGGGGTAGTAGTATGTATGAAACCTCGCGTGAGAATGGTTACTCAGTACTGCAGAGGTCAGATGCTGTTGGGGCTTGGGACTCAGAACTGACCCATACAGAGTAAGCTCAAGTTTCGGAAAGAATGAAGAACTCGCAGCCGAGAGTCACCGGATATCGGCCAGCCAGCCTTGTCAACTAGAGACGCACTGAGGAAAGTGTAACTTCCTTTGGTCCACGTTGAGATACTGACGGGTTGACCGTTAGTTTACCATCTAGCATGTAGTTAGTTAGTTAGCATTAAATGTATTATTCACCATTATTATTTTCACGGGACTGGGACTACTTTGTAGCCTGCGTAATCTGTACTGAGGACAAATCCACACCTCCAATATGAGGCTGGTCCAGCCGGTGAGAATAACATCTTGGCCTGGTTGCCTGAATACTCATGTAAAATTAATCCGAATAGTATGATTACGTGCAAGGGAGCGGGATATCTCTTTTATCGGACAGGCCCCTGAAACACCCCAGGAGGAAGTACTAAGGTACTTACGGAGTATTGTAGGAAAAAAATCCCCCAAGATAATAGTTGGTTGGGGAATGGGGTTTTGTGTGACCTTTTTTTCCTTTCCCCCTGCTGGTGAAACGATCTGTCAGATTGTTCTGGTTGAGACACAACCCCCTGACCGGGGCCTGGAAGAACGGAATTCGCCTTTTCAGCTGCCTGGAGAACCCCAACGCCCTAGGAATAAGGGATCGTCCTGGTATGGTCAAGATTTAGACATCAGCAACCTTGCCTAGGACGGTGAGCCTTGTCCTGAAGCCTTTAGCTGAGAGTTTGAACTTTGTGGTGGCTTGGAGCGACCCGGCATTCTGGCTGGGGCTAAGATCTCCTCTTCTTGCACTGATGAATCATAGAAGGATCAGACGCTCAGACAGTTCAAGTTTGCGCCATCCCATTTGAGCAAGACCAGTAGTACCCTAGAGGGATCGTCTGGGTTTCCTCAGAGAATCCCTGTATGATTTCTGTGGGCTTTTGAGTTCGTCCTTCCTTAGCATTGCTAGAATTCCAAGTTACTCCGTACCCCTCCCAGGATCTACTGTACAAGCCAAGCACGTGTGTGCATAATTGTACTCATCTGGCCTTTGATCAATGATAGCCCCTCAGGCCATTATTATACCTATCTCATATTTCTCGGCTCAAGAATGATTTAATTAGGCGGTGATACTC